TACAAATCGACTGATCTCTTTCGCGAGGTCGTATTTCGATTTTACGCAATTTCCGGTTTTTCTGTTTAAACGCTCATTCCAAAATGAGCGTTTGCGAAAGAGAGCAGTTGAAATATGTTGGTGGCTAAACAACTCTATTGCTCGGCAGAAGAGGAGTACCGCGCGACGACTTACTCTTTGATCGTGAATGGACTGATGATGCAGATTACGAGCGTGCCTAGCGAGATTGCGTAACTCCTTGGGGTAAGGGGTCGGTGCTCGATGAAGTTGCCTGGGGACTTCGGAATCTACCTCAGCAGCGAAACATATCCTCTTGCCGTTTCCGATGATCGAACTCGAAATCGGTCCTGTGGTCTGCGCCAGTTCTGCAATCGAAATTACGGCGGGTCACTAGAGCGAAGACACGATCGGCGCAACGAGGGATACTTTAATAAAATGCTGGCGAATGCGTGCGATGTTTTTCAACGTCGGCACTATTCGATACCAGTTTCTCAATATCTTACCATTTCATTCCTCGTCTTCCTGCCCGTCTTCTACTAGCAGCGTGAATAAATATCGCATTTCATTGTTAGTTAATAAGCCAGATAAAGCATGTACGTTTTTTGTAACAGCGTAAACTAAGGTAAGCAAGAAGCCAATTCTTTATTAGTTCAAATACACATAAACATAAGTAAAGCTACGTTAAAGAAAGGCGTGCAATAATTTTTCCACAAGTTACTGAAAGATTTCCAAGCTAATTCCTAACGAACGAAAGATTAGTGAGATGTTAATCAGAGATATAGAGAGAGACACTAAAGCCATGAATAAATAACAAAACTCTATACCGAAAACATTGCAAGTCATGGATACTCACGCTCCAGGTCCTGCCGCGGTTTCTGTGGCAGCATAAAGCAGCTCAGCACCATCATGTCCTCCTCGCAGTTGAACTCCTGCTGCAACGGCACCAACGGCTGGCTCTGATTGTCGCTCAGCCACAACGCCTTGAGGTTACTGAGATTCAGCATGGAGACTGGAAGAAACTTGATGCCGTTGTTGACGAGATTGAGCACCCGCAGCGAGGACAGATGGCCCAGCTCGGGCGGCACGCGCGTCAGATTGTTCGAGCGCAGCGAGAGCAGGGACAGGGACGTGCAGCTGCCAATCTCGGCGGGCAGCGCGCGCAGATAATTATTGTCCGCGTTGAGACAGTGCAGCTTGCGCAGCAAGCCAATCGAAGACGGCAAGTACTCGAGGAAGTTCTTAGTGATTATAAGCTCCTCTAAGCTCGACATCTGGCCGATGTCGTTCGGCAGTGCGTTCAATTGATTGTCGTCGATCTTGAGGGTGACGATCGTGCGCAGGTAGCAGAGCGTGTCGGGCAGCTCGAGCATCTCGTTCGAGGACAGATTCATGATCGCGATGTCGCGCCAGCCGCGTATCTCCATCGGGAGCGCGTTTATCGCGTTCATCGTGCAATCGAAGTGGTTCAGGCGGTAGAGCTGCTCGACGTTCGCCGGGACGCGCCTGATGTCGTTGCCGTCGATCCACAGCTCCGTGAGATTGATGAGATCTCCAACAACCTCAGGCTGAGAACAATGATAAATTTAAATATAAAATATAACAATAATATACCGGTTATTGGGAATAATATTATCACTCGTCATTAATTTTCCTCCCAATTTTGACAGGGAAGAGACACACTCCATTGTTTCTACCGAAATATGGATAGACAACGATACTCTTAACAATATTTTAAATACGTCCCCTTCCCTACATACAGAAAATATACCAAACCCAAGCGTCGGGAGATAAATTAATGTGTCAAAAATCAGAATCGTGTTCTTTACTTCGTTCGAGAATGATTTTACTTTAACATTAGTGTCTCGTAAGTTTGTAAAAATTCACGGCATCAAGAGTGGCCGCAAACGTCTATTTCGGGACGTCCAACGACTTCGAGCGACGCGTGAAAAGTGTAGATTTAAAAACGACGCCCTTACCAGCTCCGTGAATTCATTGTTGCCGATATCGAGCCTCTGCAGGTTCACCAGGCGGCTCATGCTCTTAGGCAACGTCATCATGTTGTTCTCCCGCAGCTCGAGCGTCCTCAAGGCTGACAGCCGCCCGAAGTTGGCCGGCAGGTATTCTATGTACGCGTCGTTTAGGTACAGCTCGCGCAAGCCGACGATATGCGTTATAGCATCCGGGAAACGCTCGAAGGGATTCACGCTGATGTCTATCGAGCGGAGACTCTTGCACTCCTTTATGTTGTCCGGTAACTCTCTTATACCTGCGGCATGGGGATGCAAATTTAGATGCAGTTAAGGCCTGTGTCTACGATGCTAGAATTCGATCCAAGTTCTAGCATCGTGGACCCAGGCCTGTCGAAACCGTGTCGATCGACAAGTCGCAAGACCGCAGCCCTCGGAGTGCATCCCGCGTCCCAGATAGCACACATAGTTCTATGAATATTCTTTTGGCGTGCAAATATTCTTAATTTCAGAATATTCTATAAATACGAGGTCTGTCCGGACAGTATCCGACCTTGTGCTCTACCCTTGTACCTGGGTGTGCTATTGTTAAAAAGATAAAGATAAATACGAGATTCGATGACGTAAAGGAAATAAAAAGGAACGCGACGAAGCGGCTGTTAACTATTCCGAAAGCTGAATACAAGGAGTGTTTCCGAAAGTGGGAGGATCGCTGAAAGAAGGTTGTAGCTTCCAAAGGCGAGTACTTTGAAGGGGACGTTGTCGCCATCGATCAGATTTAGATGCAGCACAAGGTCGGATACTTTCCGGACAGACCTCGTATACAGAGATTATTACAATTAGAAGTCGTATATTCATAACAAAGAACGTTTTCAGAATACTCGTCGAGAATGTCTTTGGAATATTTGTTCAGAATAATTTTTTAATATTCATCGAGTTTATGTATTGCACATTGTTTATTGTGTAATACACTCATCTTATGCAAAAGGCAGTGAAACCTGTGATCATACCATGTGTACGCGGCACGCTATATTCGATAGATTATTCTATTTTCTGTTAACCGATTATGTCTCAATTGTTTGCGTCTTTGGTTTAAATACTTCTGTTTCACTACTCATTATACTTTCAACATGTCTGACTGCGTAATCTTTAAATATGTCCGTTTCATTATTTATCACACTTTTATACGATCGACTGCGTGATCTTTGGTTTAATTTTTATATTGCGAATTCATTAATGTATTAAATTGCACTTTTTCTTCCTTTTTATACTGAATATGGTCCAATAAGGACCGAAACGTATATACGCATTTATAATTAAGTAAAAGGTTGTTTGGACACCACAAACTCGTTCTGGCTCCGAGCCCCTTCTTTTACCACTTGTTCTATTTACATTTGAAAAACATCTCTAGTAGTGCCAGTCGAATATTCTACGAACATAAGACAAATATATAAGAATGGCCTATGGGATATTCCAAATATTCTCGAAGAATAATCTTACAATGTTCGTAGGAGCGTCTTGCGCTATCTGAGGTGCAACCCTCAGAATGTCACTCACTGTTCTTGCTGAGGTCCAAGTACTCCAGGTTGATCAGCGACGCTATGGCGGGTGGTAACGTAGTGATCTCATTATCGCTAAGCGACAGTACTCTCAATTCGTGGCACTGAAATAGCGGCCTGGGAAGATCTCTTATCTGTGGGAGGAACACAGGGGAGTGTTAGGCGTCGTCGCAATCGCGCAATGACAATCGGAAGACAAGGGGGGCACTCACTCTATTGGCGTCGAGATACAACTTTTCCAACGTTCTCTCGTAAATGAACACATCGGGTGGTACATCGTAGAGATTACAGTGATTCAGCTGCAGGTCGCAGATGTCTTCTTCCTGGGTTCTCAGACACGCGGCGCACTGCCACCAAGAGCTACCCATTTCATGCGTGTGCAACTGGAAAGAGTGCGCGTTACATTAGCTGCAATTGTAAATCACGTTATTTCACACAGCTCGGTTTAATTAGATCCGTTAATAAGAACAAAGTTTCAACAATCCTGTGCTCAATAATCCACCCTCAATATACGACATTCGTCCACGCGAGACTCTTTGTCTCGCGGCTAAAAGCGAGACAAAATATTCTCTGCTCATGTCCGAGATAAACTGCAATTGATAAACAATTTACACGCGGATCCCATCGTGAGATTCGCAGCGAACGTTCACACCGTCTCGCTCCGTCGCGAGCGGGAGGGGGAAAGAACCGCTGCCGTGGGAGCACCAGGAAGCACCGTTACCTGCGGTGGTCTCAGGAACGATCCGGCCGCGATCCACCACCGTGGGACAGGTCCCACCACCGCACGCGAGAGCGTCGTCGCCGCCGCCGCCGACGCCGACGACGGCGATGGTCGTCCGCGGGGGCGCCGAGCCGCCGCCGCGATCTCCGGTCGCCGCACACCGTATCACCGCGTCGCGCCGCCGCGGCGCCGCGGGCTGCGGCCGTGGGTGGTCGTCGTCGCGTCGGATCCCGCGGGAATCGGCATCGCCGGCGCGTGCAACGGTGGCGGATGACGCCTGGCTGCGCGAGCGACCGCTGGCTGCGCCAGCCGCCGGACCGCTGGTGGGTACGTGAGACGCCGGCGCGTGGAACGTCAAGAAGTGATGGCCCGTCGGCGCTTCGCCGCCGTCCTCGTCCCCGCTGACGTCGCCGAGCTTCTCACGCGCATATCTCACTCCCTCCTCATCGCACGACGTACGGCGCAGTGCACGCCGATCGCGGGGATCCGTGTCACCCGATTCGCGGACTCGCCGATCCCGGGACTAACCGATTCGTCGCGCCCCACCCGCGGGACACCCTGGGCCGCTCTCGGAGGCTGCGAGACTGTGGCCGCGGGAGAGCCGCGGTCCAGAGCCGCGGCGAGACACGCTCCAATGATCGACGCCGAGAGCCCGAGGCCGAGGCCGACCACGAACGAAGGGCAGGGAAGCGGGGCGGGAGAGAGGGGGAGGGGGCGGAGGAACTCGAGCGGAAGAGGCTGGCGGAGACTTGACACTACCGACGAGCGTGCGAAACGCTCCCGGATTGTTGGAAATTGAAGATTGGAATTCGATCAATCGAACCCGCACTCCGCAGCTCGTCTCGTTTCGTCGATTGGCCGGATTTCAACCTCCGGACGCCAATCGCCTCCGCTCGATCGCGCGGCTCCGATGCCGAAGCGCCCTAAGGACCGTAGGGCCGTGGCGCGCGGAGAAAGGGCCTCCGGCCAGGCGAATTTGCGTAAACGTGCGTACGAGGAATCTGGAGGCTCGTCAATCTTTTCGTCTAACGTCAGCTCGTGTAAAGCGAACATTTTCGTCGACGAGTGTTGAATTCGTTAATGGAACCTTTCGCCTTTCACGAGTTCGCGCCAGACAAGAAAAATTCACGATTAAGGGCCTTCATTGGTCCACGGGTACACGCGTGAGGAAATAGACCAATTAATTTTCTTACGCGCGCGCTTACGCACCCACGCAAGTTTGTCTAGACTCCAGATGGACCCTGCGCGCCCTTCCGCAGACCATGGCCCTTTTCCCGTGTGCCCCGGTCCTTAGGCCCGTATTCTGAATCCTCTTTTATCGATAAAAGCGCTTCTAAAAGTGGCTTGTAGCCATCAGAAGACTATATTGGCGACTTTTAGAGGCGCGCTTTTATCGATGAAAGGGAGTTCAGAATACGGGCCTTAGTCTTTAGGGCAGCTCGACGTCGGTGTTTCATTTATTTGCTGAACAACGAGGAGATGATTCTAAATATCTGTAAATTTAATAAGAAATAAATTAATTAGCATTAGCAATTATAAGAATTTAAACGTAAAGTAAAAGGCGCTTTGTTCATTTCTTTTATATCTATACTTAATTAAAACGTACGTAATGTGTTCAATATTTGAAATCTATGAGCTATAATTCATGCCTACAACATTGTTCGATAGTTGATTGAAGTTTTAATGCAAATTAAGGCGCACTTTAAGATTTGCACTGGAATCCGCTGCAGAGTAGCGCAATTGTATGTAACGTGTGGCGACTCACGCCACATCAAGCGCGCGGGCACCACACGTCACGGCGCCGCTACTGCGAGCGCCGGTGACACGACGGTGGTTCGGCGCGCCGCCGCCAGGCGGCCACCAGCGCCGACAGCATACTCGCACTTAAAATTCAGTGGCGAAGGGTATATAAAGACCTCCGGCGACGACGAAACTTATTAAGTGATTCTTGCTGGAGACAGTTCGCGAGAGTGTTGATCGAGTGAGCCCCTCGGGCCTCGATTATTTTGCGCCGAGCGAGCCCCTTGGGCCTCGGTATCTCTATCGAGCGAGTCTCCTTAGGTCTTCGATATCTTCACCGAGAACGAGCCTCCTTGGACCTTGATATCTTCGCCGAGCGAGCCCCTCGAGCCTCGGTATCTCTATTGAGCGAGCTTCCTTAGGCCTCGATGTCTTCACCGAGCGAGCCCCGCGGGCCTCGGTATCTCCATCGAGCGAGCCTCCTTAGGCCTCGATATGTTCACCGAGCGAGCCTCCTTAGGCGGCTTAGGCCTCGATATCTTCACCGAGCGAGCTCCTCGGACCTCGGTATCTCCATCGAGCGAGCTCCTCGGGCCTCGACGCCTACCCCAAGCGAGCCCCTGAGGGCCTTGGCACTCCGAGACGTCCCCCCACCAGGACGTCCACCGGGAAGCCTAGAGTGCGTACACGTAACGCCTCTACCACCGTCGCAGCCCGTAGTTCCACTGGATCCGCGACTACGCCAGAGGCACAGTCCTCCACCGATATCCGGAGAAAGCTACATCCCGTGGAGACTAGAGCCGATTACGGGAATAGGAGCCCGATTTCGAGAGCAGGGAACGCCAGTACACAGCAGAGTTGCCACCACCGAAGCAGCCACTCAGACTTCACCGCAGAAGTCAGCCGTACCCAAGGTTGTACGCATAGACGTGGCGCAGCAACCCTCACCGAGAATAACTCAGATATCGACAAGCCCGGACAGTCCTTAAGAAGACACGTAACCGCTCTTCTCAGGGCGACACATGCAAACCGCCCTTTTCAGGGCGACCAAAAGAATTTGACAATAGAACACCCACGGTTCTCCGCAAGAACTAGGGACTCTAGCAAGAACCACTACATAACGTAATACCGAAACTATTATACAAGAAAAATAGATTATCATTTCATGATTCTATCTAATTTATGCAAATCAAGCTTCTAATAATATTTAGACTCAAATAAAATAATTATAAGTAATGGATTTTACTGACAACTACAAATTGGCGCCTATTTTTTTACCCATTTTGAAAATTAAAAAATTTTGCGTTTTGTCGCTGGCAATAAAGAATGTTATTTTTACCATTCGTCGATAACATATCGACAACCATCCGTCGGTAGCTATTCGCAGAACAGCGCTCGGGTTTCTTTCTTTCCTTCTCTTTTTCTCCCTCCAACTTGTCCATTGCTGCCTGCTGGCTAGCGACTATGTCAAAAGACGAGGTAGCCGTGGACGCCCATTGACATGAGAGATCGCGATCCGCTTGAGATCGGCTCTCGCGAGACACCGAAAGAGACGAAGCGACGTGTCCCCGAGCAGACGATCCCGCGTAGCGACATGGGCACCTCGGATCTACGAAGCTGGCCGATTTTCAGTCTACTCGAGCCGGAATTCGTCTCGCGGATTCACATGGTTGTGGTCTACGGTAATTCGCCCTTTTCTTTTCCCCCCTTTCCCGTGCTCTGCGGTGTTGTTCAACCTAACGTTTCTCGAAGCAGGTAACCTGGGCAACGAGGCCTTGATCGTGACGAGGGACAAGACTGTGTACGCCCTGGGTAACAATATCGCCGGCTGCCTGGGGACGGGGGACGCGCACAGCACGCTGTATCCGAAGAAGGTCGAGGCCCTATGCGACAAGGATATAAAGACGTTCGCGTACGGCAGCGGACCTCATGTTCTGGTGCTCACAAAAGAGGGAGAGGTACACTACAAGTCTTGTATGTCGAAACAAAATGAATCTTCAAATAACGCTTCTCTAAAATACACAGAGTTCCGGTGCGTTCCCATTAAACACAAGTTTAGAGCTAAGCTAGTCATTTTGATAACAAATAACAAAGACAGAACAATTGATGCTTACACTTTGCACTGCTCTGATATTTGTGTAGTTCGCACGAGGTTTGTTTTCTGTTCCTGCACTGGTGAACTAGAGCAGTAAGCTAGAATAAGAAAAAATATACTTGTCTTACTCTAATTGATTGGCACCAGTTCACCGGTGCAGGAACAGAAAGCAAACCCATAGTCTGTACTAGAGTTCTGTAGGAAAAACGGATTATTCTATCTGGCCGTTCTTTGTCGACACATTCCGAGGAATTGTCAGGGATCTTATGAAACCGCCAAGTTACAAGCGACACACTCGCGAGGCGTCGGAATAAACGATAGCAAATTCTCGATAGGTGTATTCCTGGGGCCACAACGGTTACTGCGAGCTGGGGAATGGCACGTGCAATCAAGGTCTCACGCCTACCCTAGTGAACATGCCGAGTCTAGGCGGCGCTCTGGGCATGAAGCGCATCGTGGACATCGCGTGCGGGAGCCACCATTCCGTCGCTCTGACCGAAGACGGCGAGGTGAGCAAAGGTCGGGACACGACGACGACTCTGTGTCGTTACGAGCTAAGACGCGTCTCGTTTCAGGTGTACGCCTGGGGACAGAATAACTGCGGGCAAGTGGGTAGCAGCATCAGCACGAATCAGGGCGCGCCCAGGCAGGTGAACTCCAACCTGGCTGGGAAGAAGGTCATTCACATCTCCTGCGGTCAGACCTCCACCATGGCGGTCGTCGAAAACGGCGAGGTGTACGGCTGGGGCTACAACGGCGTCGGCCAGCTGGGGATAGGCAATTACGTCAACCAAATGACGCCCTGCCGGGTCGGCTCGCTGATAGGAACTGTGATAGGTAGTTCTCGATCTCGGTAGACCGACCTGGGGAGCGGAGAACGACAGGGCGGAACGCTGAGCGAGTATTGTCGTTTCAGTCAAGGTGGCCTGCGGATACGCGCACACGCTGGCGCTGACGGACGAGGGGAAGCTCTACGTCTGGGGCGGGAACAGTTACGGCCAGCTGGGGATCGGCAACAAGACGAACGCCTGTAACCCAGTTATGGTAAATTCATATTTAACGGTTATATCGCGATGGAGACGGGAGAACGGAAGGAAAGTGGAAAAGCGAGGGATTTTATCATCAATAGTTGGATCATCAGGTGAAGCACGAAATGGGAAGGCTGTCCGACATCGCTGCGCTGCACTACAATCACATAAGCGTCGGCGTCGGCGAGGGAGGACGTGTCTACATGTGGGGCCACTGCCGCGGTCAGAGCGTCACGACCCCGACCGCCACTCCGTTCTCAAACGTGCACGACGCGCTCGCGTCCTACGGATCGCCGAGCGTTATGCACGAACCGCTGATCCTCCACCTGAACGAAGAGTCGAGCCTGTTGGAGAGCCTGGGAGCCGCGTTCGACGATCCTGTAGGTCTTGTTCTACGTCCTGTGTTTGTCCGCTTCGCGTGTACTCGCGTTCTCAAAATGTACAATATTGAGGAGAAAGTGCAGTTGAGAAGCAAATAGATGTAATTATTAATAACATCGCTAGTTACATATCAGTGCCTCGGAGATAAGCAATGTCAAGTTTGTCAAGCTGATTTAAAAAAATATAAAATCTATCTTTGCAATACATGTGACTTAACATTGTTTATCTCTGAGGCACTGATGTATAATATTTTCACTTATTAGAGCGGTTAAGACTTGTAATTTTTTTAACTAAGCTCTGTGTTAATCAAAGCTCGAGTCTTCTTGAAAGAGATCTCGAGAAGCTTCTCTAAGGAGAAATGTATTTACCGAAGTCGACGGTAAGCACTTTGATGTTCAAAATCGTAATACATTTCTCGATTTTAATTAATGAATGCGAATATTTTATGTACCGGACTAATGTCACGCGCGTCTGACTCTAACTTTTTCTCTTCTTTTCGACACAGGAGACGAGTGATCTCACGATACAAGTGGACGGCCAATGTATCCACGTGCACAAGGCTATCTTGAAGATTCGCTGTCCGTACTTCCGAACCATGTTTCAGCACAACTGGGCGGAAAACAACCAGAGGTAATCCCAAAGGACAAGGGTTGACAAAGGGCCAGTGTTATTCGTGATTAAAGATTTTTCAAGTTTCGCTAACCTCATCCTTCTCTCCTGACAGCGTCATCGAGCATGACCAATTCTCTTACGGCGTCTACAAAGCCTTCCTGAAGTATTTGTACACCGACGTGATCGATCTGCCTGTGGAGAAAGCATTAGGTGAGTACGTCGAGTACGCCACGGGGTGGTGGTCGGTCCGCGTGGCCTCGCAATTGATCAGCACCATCTCTCGTTACAGAGCTCTTGGATCTGGCTAACTTGTACTGCGAGAACAGTCTCAAGAAGCATTGTATTCGGATGATAAAACAAGGAATCACCGTGGCAAACGTCGCTTATTTGTATAGCATCGCGATCGAGTACAACGCGGAGGTAGCGAAGCGCCGTCACTATTAATACTCATTAATATTTCATTAACTGATACGCGCAGAGAATTTTTTCTTAAAATTTATTCCGACAATCGCGTAATCGTCGGGTAACGCGGCACTTCGAGGAATTTTATGATAGTTCTTTTGAAATTTCATCGTACATTCTACTAGTAATTATACTTGATATACATTTTACTAGTGGAATATACATTGTAAAATATAAAAAAACTCGTACAGTTCTTCAAAATGCCGTGTTGTTCCACGATTACATAGTTTTCAGGGTAAATTTTAAGAGCAAATTCTCTCCGTGTACAGATATCGCTTTATCTACACGTGCATGCATTATTGAATGCCGACGGCAATTCTTTTTTTTTGTAGGAACTAGAAGAATTCTGTTTCAAGTTCGCTTTGAATCACATGACGGCTGTGACGCAGACGGAAAATTTCGCCAAGCTGGACGAGAACACGGTAAAAACTTTTATAATTAAGGCGGGCAAGGCCGGTGTTTTTAGGACGTAAATTCGTCTGTTTACCTCAAGGACAATGCGCCTCGACGAGAATAGGCGAAATTCGCCGAGTCTGTCTGTCGCCGCACGAAAGCTCGTGGCGCATTTCACGACGAGATACTCCGACATTCTATTTCTTAAGTTTGCATTTCGCTATTAGCATTTTGTCGCAAGTGATAAATGGACGCGACCGACGAGTCGCGCGGACTATCTCGCGCGTCCCGCAATAATATTTCGCACGAGAGTTTTCTTCGCCGATCTCGGAGATTGTGATCTTGCAAAGGTACCTGAGATTATCGTAGAATTCGCGTACACGGAAGAAGAAGAAAAAATTGGCGACGCCACTTATCGAGGGAGATCGAACTCGCGTCCGCGACGACGCGTTAATCTGCGTAACGACGTTGATTGACGACGCGTCGAGTTTGTCGAACGATTGCGAAAGTTATATTGTTCCGCATTTCTTTTTATTATTTCTGTGATATAGCGTATCTATTTTTTTGCGATCACGCCGACGTCTCTCGCCGATTTTGTTTGTCAGACGGCGAACTTTGTAAAATATAAGTATACGCATGTACGACGCGAAACAGTAGAAATAAACTTTTTTTAACACCGCCAATGCTGTGTCATTAACGCCGCTCACTCCCGTCCGCCGATACCCGGGGCTCTCAGCGACAACAGTGAGCGAATGAAAGAGAGTCGGGAGTGGAGGAGCTCGGTTGAGGGAGACCTCGCACGGTCGTTCGTACATCATTTTATTACGATATCCTCAATATATACAAGCGATAGATTTTGTCGTTCGTATAATACGTATCTACTGATTAATAATCACCATATGATGTTTAATATACATACATATATATATACCTTGAAACGGGAACGGTCAATGTTTCGCGACACGGAGATTAACTCCGATAAATCTGTACACGTGTATCAACTTCATCCTCTCTTTCTCTCTCTCTCTCTCTCTCTCTCTTTCTCTCGCACGTTCTCTCTCTCTCCCTCTCGCCCCTCGATTCCGAGTCGCCGAACGCCGTTGATCGTTCATATTCCAATCTCGCATATAGAAGTATACAAGATATACATATACGGAGTGTCTATCTTACAGCGGCCACCGCAAAACGGGCGCTCAGTATATATACGTGCGTCTTTTATTTTATTTTAAATGTATTTATATATTATGTATAAGTAATTATTATGTTAAATTAGGTGATCGGTCGTGCGCCGCGACCGCGAAAACTCTCCCGTCGCAACCAGCGCGTGCAACCAAGTGCGAGCGTGAGCGTGTGTGTCGAAAGGGTTGTGCGCGATAACGATTGCCGGCCGTGCCGAGAGGAGCCGCGGTATCGTTAACGACATCGCCGTCCTTTCGCCGCGCCGAACGCTCGGTTTGATCAATAGAAGCCGGCCCGATTGCGCGACGGGCGAGTGACAAATTACGTTTTACAAACGTAAGGTCGTTTTCATTTTAGTGGTCGATAGTGTCCGCCGCCGATCGATTAGTCATCGGCAAGTAGTAGATAATCAATGACAGGTGTTGGTAGAAATTGTAATAGATGAATTGTATCTCTCTACTCGTGATAAGAGCGCGAAGATTTGTCATTTCGGATTACTTGTCGCTCGGCGAAACGGAGATTCGCGACGGCGGGCGCTTGCACGCGGTGGTTGCGCGTCGCCGGTCGCGTAGCGCCACGACGCGACGTACCTTCCCGAGGAGGGGAGTTTCCCTCTCGCGAGACCGCGAGATCCTCCCCGGGTGCCGGCGCGGTCGGGGCGCCGCGACCGGCCACCGACAGCTCGACCACTCGTCGTCGGTCCATTTAGAGTTTCATTAGTAGTAATCGTTCTCCACTTCACTGCTTTCTTTGTATTAATTAGAGCGTATTTAGGCCTGCGGGCTACTTTTCCCCAGCGACGCGCTCTGCGAGTCCCGTCGACGACAAAACCGAGAGACTTCCCTGCCCGCTCGGGCCACCGATCTCCCCTCGCGCGCCCCTCCAAGGTACGGAGAGAGAGAAAAGAATGGCGTCTCTGTAATTCGTATTTGCGACCCCCCGCCGATCGACGATAAACTGCCCTTCCGCAGGAACCATCTGTCTCCTTCAGGATCAATCAAGGGACTCCGTCTTCTCCCCTGTTTGCTCGGCGAGTTCATCTTCTTCCTTTGGTTTCCCTCAATTTTTTTTCTTTTTCAGTGGATTGCCCGCATCTCTCATCTCCTGTACCCCCCCCCCCCACCCCACCCCCCGCTTTTCTCTCTATCGACGCTCGTTTTCATCCCCTCCGTCGTTACTGTTCTTATAGAAATTTGCATTGGAGAAGCGAGGATCCTTCACCCGGAGAGAAGAATGGCCCCCCCCTGCGACAGCTGATTTACTAAACGCGCTTATCTAAACGGGATCGCCCCGGCATCGACGCTATTTCCGAGATAACCGCTATTTCGAGACTCGGAAGTCCCTCCGACCCTTTGCCCCCTTTCTCCTCAAGTTGCCGATAGATTACCTGTCGTTTACCCCGGCGAGAGGGAGGAGACGATCGTTCGCGCGCACGTTTCGACGACGCCGATGAAAAGTGCGAGACTGCGGAAACTGGAAATTGCGAAAGTATAACTTCCACGGGAGGGGGAGAACCGTTTTACGCTGCTCCTCGCCCCGGGGAAATATATTTGGGGAAACGTGTCCGGGGGTATTTATTTATACGGGGACGCGGAAGAGAGGTAGACGCGAAAGATATTAGAATGTAATTACACGCGCGGGAAATTTTCGCGTGCAGCTTCAATGGGGATAAAGTATCGGATGAACGGGAGACACACACATACACGCGCACCCACACATACGCGCGCGCACGTGGATGATTTTTCGACGGCTTATACCGCTGATAAAACTGTATTGGGAAAACGATCGTAACGGAAAACGCCTGAAAATGCAATATTTTTGATCGACGTGCTGCGTCGGTACTTTTATACGCACCTGCACGTAACGATACGCAAAAAAATGCGCAACACGCGCACACGCATAAGACACACGAGTCCTCGTGTGACAATTACGACGCGAAATATGAATCTGCTGATACCCCGATTTCGCAATGCGCGGTTACGAAAAATGCACACAAACGTTCACGCACACGCATGTGAAACTAATGCAGGGAGTTCCTCCTGTCTCGTTTGCATTTTTATCGCGTATTTTCGATAAATTTCATCACGCCGCGCTCCGCGATCGGTTTTCCGTCCGATCGGCGTATAACTCGCGAATTGATTTATTAATTATCCGAATTAATTTCGCAGAGATTCGGATGAATCCGATCCTTCGGATTTATTAGATTCCAATGATCCGGCTGTCTGACGGAGGGGGGTGGGAGGGAGGGCGGGAAGAGGTTTGAGCGATCCGATAATAATTATTTCCGACAATTCGGATATCGAGTTATCCGGGTATTTATGGCGTTTACGCGACGATACCGGGATGGATTTTCTGGGAGGTGGAGAGACTTTCGTGGTAAAATACGAATCGATTTTGGCATATTACGCCTCGCGATTACTTACCCCGTCCAATCACCCTGGTAGCTCGAGCGCGAATTAAGGATCTCGCAGACTCGTGCACGAGCTCGATTTGTCCGACGTCGGGTCCAGGTAATCCGGATATTCGGACTTGCGTAATGTACAGTATAACGAATTATTATTTATAGTACGTATAGTTATATTTATATATGTATATTAATAATTATCCTTTGCTTTATGCTAGATTATTCAGACACTCGCAGCCTTGGCGACGATTCCGGGATGCAAAATTTCGGAGGATATCGTCGCGGAGGCCGGGGAAGGATCGATTCCGAGATTTTTTTCTTTCCGGTCTCTTTACCGGCCACGGCGATTATGCTATGTTCTTTTTCAAATACCTTTCCAAATGTGCCGCTCAGTTTTGCGTTATTTGCCTCGTCTCGCGCGTCGTCGTTGTTTCCCAATTATTCTAATATCGAGAACTCGTTGAGATTCGCATTTGTCGCTCACTCGTTCTATTTATTTCCGAAGGGCGCGGAATCGGAAACCGGCGCTTTAGATCGCGGTGTCTCTTGTCGAAAGGTGTTCCCGATAACTTTTGCGATGTTCTTCCCCCCCTCCCCCCCCCGAGAGTATATGCGTATTGCAACTTCTGTCTTATCTAATTGGCGTGGAAAGAAAAAGGTACCGACGTTTTTAAAGTGCAATTCGAGGTAAAATATTGCAACGTGTTACACACGTTTGTCTTGAAAATTTCGAAATCGATTGTTTGATTTACCTGTATAATTCTCGTCATTATTATTCCTATAGTACCGTTATCGCGCGCTACTATTTACTCGTTATCGTTATAATTACCGTTATTATTAATATTTCTCATTATCCTTATCTAATATAATTATCGTTATTATTATCATTATCGTTATCACCGTCTCATTGTAACTTTTTCACCGTTGTCAGCTCGTGCAATTTGTGTTGTCCCGCTTCGCTGTCACTAGGTCTCATTCCTAATGTATATTCTTAGCATGATATCATCATCCTTTTTGCGCTTTAGCGACGCGCGCGCTTTTGTGTCGCAAAAAAAAAGAAACGAATGAAAACGTCGTCTAACGAATTAATGAGTTATCTCGCAGAGAGACTTGCGCTCTCCTCCTTCCTCCCTCGTTTTGTTGCACGCTTTAAAAGAGGCGCGATCGAGATAATCAACCCTCCCTTCTTTTTTGCTTCTCTCTACTTTTTATAATTTTTCATCCATCTCTCTCTCTCTCTGTCTCTCTCTCTCTTTCCGTTCCTTGCAAAAATTTTCGACCGATCTCTCGACGATCTCCGGATCGAAGCTCGAGTTTGTCGTGGACGACGCGCGTCGCCGGTGCTCATCATCGCGCGTGGGATTATAATCGTTTAGAGTCCTTTGTACAGACTTCTGATAAATCGTTCTATAACTTATTTTTCTTTTTTTTTCCTCTTTTTGCCATTTGCCTTATGTGATAACGGTTTTTTTTAATTTTTCTTATCTCTTACCGCGAACTAGCGAGTAACTCTCCTCTCTCTTTTCTCTCTCTCTCTCTCTCTCTCTCTCTCCCGCTCAATCTCTCTCTCCCTCTCTCTCTCTCTCTCTCTCTCTCTCTCTTTTTACATATCTACTTACGTTGTAACGGTGCTTGTGTTGTACAGCTAAAAGTTAGCTAGACGTGGGCCCAAGGGACCCCGGGGACACGACCCCCGGGGCGGGGGGAGAGTGGAATCCGACATTCCCTCGTCGGAGGACGTGCGGGTCAGGAGACCCTGTCGGCCGGCGGAGCCTCGATCTCCTTCGAGGCCGCGCGCCCGCCGCGCCGGCCTCGCGCGATCGCCGACAATCCAAGGACGATTCCCCCGGGCTCGAGCCGCGGTGCGGCGCGCACAGAACGCGAGAAATAATTTATACAAAACCCTGGCAGGGTCCCCCGTGTGGCGCTCCGCTGAACCCCGACACATTCGGGTCATTCTCTCTCTCTCTCTCTCTCTCTCTTTCTCTCTCTCTCTCTGGTCAAGCTCGCACCGACGCTCGCGAGCGTAAAAGGATTGACCGTGAATTATTTCGCGTCCTTCGAAATTAATCGCGAGCTTTTAGCGTCGGGACAATTCCTCCCCGACGTTTTATTTCAGCGTACTCTTGTTCCCTTTCTCATTGGTCTTCTCTCTTTTTCACGGGAGGGATACGCGGTTCGCGTACCGAGAGGCGGAGACGATCGGTCGACTCGATCGCGAGAGGATCCGAAGGTACCGAGCGACGCCGATAGCCGGTGTCTGCGGCACCGGGGGAGACGACGCCGTATTCCGGCACATCTCCGGCGAAAGCGGAAATAAAAATCAATAGAGCGAACAGCCCTCCTGGAAATATTCCAGCTGACGCACGTTATTCGGCCACCACGGGGGCCGGTTCCTCTTCTGCCTCCGGGGCGAGCGAGGCCCGCGCGAGGAGGAGGATGAGGTGGAGGAGGAGGAGGAGGAGGAGGATCGCGAGTTCGGCGAACGGAAGGAGAGTCGCGCTCGCGTGAGTCGCGACACCCCCGATCGATCCCGCTGATCTTCCGCTGCGCGCGGAGCGCATCGAGATACGATGACGTCCGTTCTTCCTCTTTCTCTCCTCACCCTCGCGCGCGCGAGGGAAGAGACGGATCGGCGAGGAGCTGATCCGCGAACATCCGGCCGTTCGGTTCTCCCCGCAGTCCTAGACATCCTAGAGATGCGTCACGCGCGCTCGATATATCGAAAGCCGTCATTTTGGTCCTATTCTGAGTAGAGGATAGTCCTCTATTATGAGGTGGGCTCCCAATATGAGATAGCGGAGTCTCTGCTGAATTAACAGGCATCATCTGTTTCACCATGAATTTATTGCCCCTGGCGTGAAGTCCAGGAGAGTCTTTAGTGGGAAGTTAATTGTTAGATCGTGTAATCGTTGCGAAATATTTGTCGTTGAATTTGGACGAAACGCCACTACCTCATATTGGAATCCTATCTCATAATAGAGGACTTTCCTCTATTTATGAGGAAGAGATGTTTTCTTTTATATTTTAACGTGGTCCAGAGGAGGAGCTCACGCGCCTTCAGTTTCACTTGTGTGGCGCGATGCTTCTTGGAAGGAGGAAGTTGTCACAAGACGAAGAAGGGAGCAAACAATGGGATAGCTTTCGAGGAGAGGTCGGGTTAATTAAATTTACATTTTTGACGTTAGACATTTATACAAATAATGAATGCTTATCCCAGAGTAGTAGCTAAATGTTGCGCGAATTTTTGTAATTGTTCGTCGACAAATTACCACATTTGTTTGCACAAATTGCATCACCGTTTAAATGCAGCGAGGAACCAAAATGGCGCTGTAATCACGTGATTTAAACAGCCGAGCGGATCTACATATACTCTTCGGTCACGCATCTCCGATTCGTCGAGGACTCTAGTCTTTTCGGGGTCCGGGCGAGATTTAGGGCCGCGACACGCAGGAAAACTTAAGCGGTAAAACTTCGGAAGCGACCAATCGCGGCTGGATGAAATTCTTATATTCTCAGTCGTAAGGTCTGCGTCCGCGACGCTAGAACTTGGTCCAAGCTTTAGCTTCGAGAAATGTACGTAGCCAATCAACTTGCAGCTATTCCGTAAAAGCTGCAAGTTGATCGGCTACACATCTTTCGAAACTTGGACCAAGTTCTGGTATCGTGAACCCAGGCCTTTAAGTCCCAGTCTAGAATAGATGATTTAAGTCTCAAGCCTTCAGAAATTGACCAATCACTGTCAGGTATGAGTAGAATACGCGACTGTGATTAGTCAATTTCTTAAAGCTTAGGATTTAAATCTCTATTGTAGATGGATACTTACTGCTTCAGTTCTTTCGTGTGTCTGGGCCTTGAATCTTACCGCGTAAGTTTTTTTTTCCACGGCCCCGGTTCGCGCGACTTTGCGTGGCGCGAAGTAGCTCGAGTGAGCAAGAAGTGTCGAGCCCCCGCGGCGGGTTCAGGAAAAGGGAAGACATAACGCGATACGGGCAAATTCTCCCTCTCCCCCCCCTCTCTCTCTCTCTCTCTCTCTCTCTCTCTCTCTCTCTCTCTCTCTCTCTCTCTCTTTCTCTCTATTTTTCCCTCTTGCCTTTTACGAACGCGATTGACTGCTGCAACGCGGGAGTCGCGAGCCGTGCGCGCGTATCGGACCGTATAGATCGAATTGCGGACCCCATTTCATCACTTTGCCGCGCACGTAGATACGTAGAACGCGGCGGGGAAGAGCGGATGCGGGGAGGTAGACGAATGCGAATTGCGGAGTCGTCGTAATCGGCCTGTCGCTCTGGGACGAGCGGGAGGGGACAGGGGAGAGGAGGAGGGCCAGAGGCAATTTTACGCGGCGCTGCGCTCATCTTCGTCGGCTGTTAGGCACGAATGCGATACGCGACGCGTTATCGCGACGAGCGAGGGAAATTGATAAAAAAAAAAAGGAATCCACTTTTCATCAAACGAACTCCTAATCCACGCTGAAATCTCCGGACGCGCGTCCGGATTTCCTCAGGCCCGAGGCCTGGGGCGATGAGAAAGAGCCTCGTTCCTCGCGAGATATCGATTTAATAAAGAGAGAGGTACATGTTGCTCTAAGGAGCCGAGTTAGGTCGAGACGGTCCACGTTAGTGCTACGTGTAAAATTGATTTTGAGACTAACTAACATCTTGTATCGGCTCGCGGGTTCACCGTCAACTTATTCTTAAAAAGAAAAAAAAAGTACACACCAACGTCAAGAGCGTCCTGACGCGGAATCGGCGATACGAAATAACGACATCGCGTCGGGCGTCCGACATTTGCGCGTTACGCTCGATCGAAATGCGATTCGATCGTATCGATTCTGCGTTACGCGGCCGCGCGTCGGATTCCCTTTAAACCGAGAGGCGCGTGGACGTGGATGTACGCGCCCCACGGGAATTCCCGGAGCTTTTTTTCCTTCCTCCTCAGCGTAGACCCCCCCCCGATATCGCGACGGAGCCCCGCGGGATCCGGTAAAGCTCGGGAGAAACGCTCTCGCCCCGGACGCGGCTTCGATCATCGGTCCCGCTATACCTAACGTTCCAATATATACATATATATATATGTATATGTATGTATATATGTATATACATGTAACCGACTTGTCCCGCGGGATAACGTCACGATAAACGCGACGCGACGCGGCGATTCGTGCTCATAAAACCCCCCCGCGACGGTGACCCACATAAGGGACGTATAGCGGGGTGGTATAACGCCGTTCGCGTCCCGGGTGGAGTACCGGGATCGACGAGAGGCGAGAGACCGATGGCGTAACGACGGTTTTACGACGCGGCGAATCCGCACGTGTCGCGTACACGGGGCTTCCGGTGCACAGGGCTCGGGTCCTCCCCCACTTACCCCCCCCCCTCTCTCTCCCCGAGTCCGCCGCGTTCTCTCGAGCGAGTCCCCGGAGTTCTCTCCTCTCGAGTCTCCAAACGCTCCCGCTCCCTTCCGCCGGGTCCTCCGGCATCGATCTCGCGGATCCTCGCGGCTCTCGCGGTCCCCGGAGCGGCCCGGCCTCGCTCTTGCGAACTTCTCGAACCCTCGGACCGGCGCGTCCTTGGATCCTCCCGCTTTTCAAGGTTCCCCGGGGTTCGTCGGGTCGCGGCGTTTCCCGAATCGTCGAGCCCACCCCGGCGAGAAATGACTTCGTCGACCGGTGTCGAAGCGACGACGGATCGACGTCAATTTGACGGTATCGATGTCGATTCGACGTGGTTTCGACGCCGATCGAATCGTTTCTCACCGGGACCGAGGTTCCCGCGCTCGTATCTCCGAATCTCTCGCTCTCGCGTTTGCTTTTTCCCCTTTTTTCTCGAACGAAGATACCTCGTGTCTTCCTCGAGAGCTCTCGAACGCGGACCCGTTCGAATTCTCGCCGCTCTGTCGCGCCCCGCGCTAACGGGGAAAGGGTATCGGACCCCGTGAGTGACTTCGTAGGAACTGTAATTAGCGCAATTAAAACCGTCGGCGCAGCTTCGCCGATAGTTTCGTGCCGTCGCCTCGTCCCCCCGTTTCGATCGTCCGCGGCCTCGTCGCCGCTCGTTCCTCTCTTCTTACCTCTCGCCGGATCGTCGCTCAGCTCTCCCTTACGCGCGCAGAATCGCTCGAGTCCGATTCCACCCTGGACCCCCCCGGGGCCCCTCCATCCCCCGTGGTCTCCGACCGAGCGAGATCTCTCTCATAGGCGGGCGTGTGTGTTTGTGTGTGTGTTTGTGTGTGTGGTTTTTTTTTCTTTTATTCATCGTCGATCCCCCGGCGATCGAGCACTCTTCTACTATTGATATGTCTGTTTCTCGCGCGGTGCCGTCGTCTTCCCGGTCGTTCCTTCGTTCGTTCGTTCGTTCGTCCGTTCGTGCTCGTCCATCCTCTTCTTCAGGGAAGAAACGGACCGCCGCTGCTGATGCCGATGCCGATGCCGATGCCGATGCTGCTGCTGCTGCTGCTGCTGCTGCTGCTGCTGCTGATGCCGATGCTGACGCTTCTGCTGCTCGACGGGGCTAGGACGGCGGCTCGACGGCCGACCACCGATCCAGCGGCGGCGGCGGCCGGGAGCTAAACGATACCTCTGACGTCGTGCTGGATGTGAGGCAGAGTAGTGAGGCCGGTCAATAACAGGCTCAAGATCAGGAGTAGCCGGGTCGCACCGGAGTCCGCGAGGCTCGTGCTGCCGCACGTCTCCTTAGAGCCGACCTCCAGTTTCGCTGTAACAGAGAGTCGCCGGTCGCGAGATTTAATAATCAGTTTACACGAGGCATGCGTCGCGAGCTTATCAGATACGCTCCTCTTTTTTCAATAGCCCGACACAGGTTTGTTTTTCTTTATTTTAATAAAATATTTTTAGGAAACTAGGCGGAAAGAACGAATATTCTTCTCTTGAAAATAGGTTTAGTTTCAACGTGGCAATCTTGAAACGAGATTATTCTGCGTTAGAGGAAGAGAAACTTACTTGAACGAAGCAATTTTATATAATTTAATCAAGAAAAATATACGTTTATTATTTGAGAATAATTTTCTCGACTGGAAAGGAAACAAAGTTGGACAGAAAACAACACCTTTTCAAACCGGAGACTATGATTAAAATCTTTTTGTCAAAATAATTATACGTGTTGTTGAAGTGACAATTACAGTACGTAAATAAGACTGTAACATTGCCGGGATGTAAGATTATTAAATGCTTCCAAGAAGATTATAGATTGTTGCGTATATACAAAACAATGATCGCGTTAATTTGAGTGCATAAGAGTAGATCTGACACTTTCGTTCTGTGTAACACCCGCTCGTGGTTCCTGGCTCTCGTCTTCCGTCAGATTTTATTAATTCACGAGGACGTTCGTCGAGAAATATCGAGGAATATCGACACCTCTCGCCCCCTACTTGTCGTTTCTTTTATACGAGAGCGAATATCAGCGAGATCGCACGCGTGTGACACGCGAAAGTGAACCTTCGCTTCGGGACATTTTTATGCGAACATGCGCGCGCATGCTGTACCGAAGCGCATCTATTATTATAAAACGATTACAGCGGCGGATCGTGAATATTTCGGTGCGATACTTTGAATAATGGAAGATGCGGCGTCCCGTCGATCTCACTGTTAATTGGCCGCGGGACCGGCCAATGGAAGTTAGTCGCGATTCTTTTGTTATCTTTAGATTTGTTTGTTTTACTTTCACCCCCTGGTAGCACTTTCTGCCTTTAAAACGAGATGTATATTCAGAGGCTAGAGAGAGAGAGGCGAAAAAAAAAACGAATCTGAATGTGTGCACACGATGTGAATAAAATGAATGGGCTTATGTTACATCGCGCGGTCAATTGAGGACTCGACAATCGCGAATAATCGTAACAGTCGTGGTGCATTTGACGATTGCTAGAAGTGCAAGCAAATTTAACGGAAGGACGATCGGGACTTTTCTCTTTGCCCGCCGAGCGCTCTGGAAATGCGAGGGCCGATTTCTCCAAGCGGCGGTCCAGCTTGGAAAGACTTGTTCCTGCTACGATAGAGGAAAGTCCCCTATTATGAGACAGGCTTCTAACGCGAGAAACAATAGGACGATGCTCGTTAATTTAACCGAAACCCCTCCATCTCATATTAGGAACTTATCTCATAATAGGGGACTTTCCTCTATAATTAAGAGGGTGCCTAATAAGTATTTCTCAGGCTGTGTACTGTAATTTTATGATTCACATTACAGCCTCCGTTCTCTCTCTTTTATCCCCTTTTATTTTCTCCTTGCATATAATGCAACACTGAATCTTAGATCGAGCCCGAGCCGGATAATCTCGGGAGAAAAACGGCGGGGCAACTTTTCGCGCTCGGCGAGAAACGACTTCGCGTATCCTTTCTCGTCCTCCCGCGGATATCGGCGAGACGGGCAAGTTTCGCAGCGCGCGTCGTAAGATCGAGAGACGCGAGGGTGGCAACGTGGAGCGCGACGACAGTGATGCCGAGGGGGAGGAGGGGGTGGCTTCTCGATTGCGTGCACGTTCGCCTTGGCGCGGTGAAACAAAACGAACGAGCGCTCCGCCGAGTAAACGGGGATGGTATACCGGACCACCAGCAGCAGCAGCAGCAGCACATGCCGGAGGGGTAGGAGAGGTGGTTGTGGTGCTGGTGCTGGTGCTGGCGGTGGCGGCGATGGTGGTGGTGGCGGCGACCGCCAGGCAGGCAAAGCAAAGCAAAGCTGGCGGCAGGCAGGCAGGCAGGCAGGCAAGCTGAGGCAGGCAGGGCGCGGATCGATGCCACGGGTAAGTAACTCGCGCGCGTCGAAACCGCGTCGTCGCCGAGTCCGCGCGAGCCTGCACGTGCGATGCGATGCGACACGAGCCACCGCCACCGCCGTCGGCGAAGAAATATCTCGATACGTCGCGAGACGCCGGTCGTTTAACCCCCTTACCCTGGCCGTCCCTCCCTGCCCCCGCGTTACCGCGAAACCGCTGACCGATTAACGCTACGAGGAGCCGCGTCTTGCACTTGGGTAAATCTCGCGCGCGCTCGCACGCGGCTCCCGGATCGATCTCTCGACGCGTCGGGAAAGAGCGCTCGTGAGTGGATTCGCGATTTCGGATTTTCGCGCTTCGTCTTTTTGCTTCGAGCTATCGATAATACGCCGGCAGAAGTGCGTCACTGTTGTTTTCACCCCCCGCGTCACACCCGCGATCGGAAAAACCGCCCGCCCACGATTTTCTTTCTTCTCTCTCTCTCTCTGTTTTTTTTAAAGCGCCTATTCATTGTTCTTATAATTGCACGGAGCGTACAACACAATAGTGTTTTACAATCGATTCGCGCGGAGCGCGAGCAGGGGATGTTTATATTTTATTTTCGCATCTCCGATTTATACTTTCGCTTTTCTTTTCCTCCCCTTTCCCCTTTACCGCCGGCGGTCAGCCGCCGGGTCCGTGCATTTCCAAAAAAAGTTACCGTTAAAAAAATCTTGTTTTACAAATATCTAGAGCACGTTCATTTATTTATAACAAAGTCAAAGCGCGCGAGAGAGGCACCCCTCAAAGGTTTAGGCTTCATTAGCTTATTGTTTAGAGGATTTTTTTTTCCACGAACCGACGCTCCCGTACTTAAAAGTATTTTATGGGAGAGCGAAACTTCACGATCGTCTCCCTGTCGCGACGCTGGCTTCTGCGACACCGAAACGGAAACCGATAATGCTAAATAAATGTTTAACTGAGACTCAAAGTCCCGAGATTGGACTCATGCCGATATAATGAGAACGGCAGATACACGCGAGCGATACGCATATAATTTCAACTTTCACTTCCACGTGTGCAAACAGCTCGAAACGCACGAAGACTATTTGAAAAGTTCCCGGAACGAGGTACAAATGGCTGCACTAACACACAGCGGACGTCATACGTTAAACGGGAAAGTCCCGGCCCTTCTACGAACGCGCGTAAAGTTGCAGCGCATTTCAGATTGTTTCTTCGTTTATTGTTTTCAAAGATCCTGGAACGCGTCTGCCTAATTGTTGAGAAACGCCCGAGTCCGAAGTGCGCGCTTTGAGCGTTTCGCGAGGGTATGCGATATTTTAATGGCGGCGCCTTTCTCACTGCCCTGTTTAAAATATTAGATATGATCATATTGCATTAGACTACATGCAATTTCACTGTAAATAAATAAGAGTCTTATTAATTTACATTGAAATTGCACCTGTAATCTAATGTACCTAATCATATCGTGTTATTTTAAACAGGGTGGCCATCTTGCCATCCCCGAACGCGCAAAATTCCAGCCCTGTCGCTCGTCATCTTTGAGCACCTCCCGTTCGCAAACTACCGCGGCCCCTTCGTTCTCGCGTCAGAACCTTCGTCTCGAAACGCTTCGGAGAATTTTCCGTCGCAAATGTCAAATAATAAAAAAGAAATCATTAAAATACACCGAAAAAAATTCTAGGTACACTTGTGGGATGCAGATAGTAATAAGTTTTTCGAAAAATTTGGGCATTACTACTGAATTTTATAATAGCGATAATTCTAAACATTTTGAAAGAGTAAATTTTGCATTTGATCGAGCCAACTAAATTCTGCAGTGTTTTAACTTTACCCAATTTATGTCGTCATAACCTATGCGCTTTAGTTGAAACTGTCTCACCGTAGATCTAGGTAACGTTAACCAGTTTTGGATAATTATAACCGGCCTTTTTTTCAGCGTATTTGTCGCCAGTTTAGCTACGCCCTGCACGGAGAAAAAGACTTGGTTAGGATAACCAAAAAAATGGTCGCCTGAAACCAAGTGCCTTGGTTATATATGCGCCAGCTGATTTCTTGGTTACACGTACCAACGGCACTTAGTTCGACTGCAATAGTTGGAGCAACCAATAGTACTTGGTAGACTTGGTCGCTCTAAACTATCATTACTTGATTATTGTAACCTTTATCTTTTGGTTGACTTTACCAAGTTACTTGATTGATGGAACCAACGGTCGTACTTAATTGTACCAACTATATCTTTATTGGTACAATTAATTGACCAAAGCATTAAAAATTGAAACATTCTCTTAAATAAAATATTTTTTATAGCTCAGTTCATTGGTGAAAATATTTTTCTTATTAACAGTTTGTCGTAAGGTTAAAATTACATAAATGGACCAAATTGGCTATAAACGGTTTCATTTTTTGGTTAAAAAAACTGCCCGATTTAACTATAATATTTTTATTTTTACGATCATGCGGAAAATTCATACTTCGCAAAATTTATTAATTTAAAATGTAATTTAAATGTAGAAACGTAACAGAACTTGCCTTCAAATATTGAGACGAACTTCTCAAATCTCCAATTTTCCAACAATTCTTTCACGCTTGTTACTTCCATAGCTGCACTAAACAACTTATGTCCGTTTCTATCGATGCAAACCTTATTCTCGGTTTAAGTTACTTCTTGTTCTAATTCTTAGGACTAGTAAGGAATAAGAAGTAAGTGAGCCGAGATTGAAATTAATCTTAATCGGTGATACCCCTTTCTACCGAATTCACCGTGAACTTGGTTATGCTATAAGCTATGGTCGTTTGTTTTTATTTTTTTTAATTTCAATTTGATGTTATGAGAACTAATTGCCGTGGTTCCTTCTGGATAACCAATCGGAATACAATTTCTTGGTTACTTTAACCAATTGCGTTGGTTATAAACACCAACGGTCCCTATCAAGTTTGAATTGCCAGACTAACCAAGTGTACATGATTATGGTAACCAAGTCAATCGTTATAGCAACCAATATACAGCTAACCAAGAAAAACTTTGTAAATTTAACCAAGCCTTTCTTTCCGTGTGTACAGAATTATTTAACGCACTTGTAATAACCATTTGTAGCGCCCAGGAAACGTTACGCGCCGCGCAGGCTGATAAAATTACCCACGTTCTACCAACATGGCAAATTTAACGCTAATAGCGACGTCTCCCAACGTTCCTCGCGCGGGAAATGTTTTCCCACCCGAACGGGGAGCCTGCAGCTTATTTCCAAGTTATACGAAATTTACGAGAGTTCGTTATCGCGGCCCTTTCTCGCCCCGACCATCCTCTCTACCCTCCCGACGTCACTCTCCCTGTCACGGCGCGTCGCGGGGAACGGGGAGGACGGCGGAGGGCAGGGGGCAACGATAGAATCTTCCCTCCCTGTAACGAGACCGATATTTTCGCGTGCGTGCGTGCGTGCGTGCGTGCGCGCGCGGACGAACGGACGGACGACGAAGGGAGGTTTCACGGCGTAACAGCTGTCTATTAAGGCATTCCGCCGTCATACAAAACGATCGTCGTGTAAAACGCCGGCGGCCGCTGCTTTCGTGACCGCGATGACACGTCGGCACGCCACGCCGTTTAATCTCGGCGTGCGTGCGCGACCGCGACCGAAGGGCGGGAAGGAGGGGCCGGCGGGCTTTACCGTAATCGTAATTATCATATAAAGCGACGTTGTTGTTCGAGCAGGTACAAATTTCAGACCCTTATCGCGAACGCGAACGTTACCCGCGCCACACGGCCGCGGCAATGAGGGCCCCATTAACGGACCCGCGCCCGCTCGAGGGCGATAACGCTCCTCGTGGCGGACGCGAATGAACTTGAACGAATCCTTATCGCCGAGAGCCCGGCGTTCCGTTTTCATCCGCCTCGTAAATAAAATTACAGCGCAGCGGCGAACAACTTTGTACACACTTCGGCGATTTTTCATCGAAATTACGCGCGCGAGAGCTTCACGTTCGGAATTGCATCGCGGGGAGCTGAGAATTATCGCGAGACAGCTTTCCTTTGCATTTTCACGAAAATTTATTTTCCACGCGCCGAGAGTTAGTTTTAGTTGTTAAATATTTGAAGAAGTAATAATAGTCGTTCTTTTTTTTTTGGCTAAAGCCCATTTCTAGCGACGCAGATTAATTGTCTGCTTAGCTAACAACCTTTCCCAATTACTGAAATTAGAAAAAGACAAAAAGTATGTTGGACGGATATTAAAGTTAATCTGCGTTGGTAGAAGTAGACAAAAGAGTTATTTTTAGTCGTTAACAAACACCCAAAGGAGTCATAATAATTGTTCTATAATTGCTCATCTTTTTTGCAATTAAGAGCTATTTTTAATTGTTAACAAATATCTAAAGAGATAAAAATAAAATTTATTTTCCATACGCCGAGAGTTATTTTTAGTTGTTAAATATTTAAAGAAATAATAATAATCGTTCATTTTTTAGCTAATGCTCATTTCTAGCGACGCAGATTAATTGTCTGCTTAGCGAACAACCTTTCCTAATTGCTGAAACTAGAAAAAGACAAAAAGTACGTTGAACGGATATCAAAGTTAATCTGGTAGAAATAGGCAAAAGAGTTACTTTTAGTCGTTGACAAACACCTAAAGGAATCATAATAATTGTTCTATAATTGCTCATTTTGTTTGCAATTAAGAGCTATTTTTAGTTGCTAACAAATATCTAAAGAGATCAAACTAATTGTCCTACAATTTTCTCTCGCTTGTCTCAGCGAATCGTCAACTTTGGGAAATACTTGGCGTGAAACTCCCCGAAGATTTTACGCTTAGAATTGGACCGAAAATCTGAGAAGTTAGAATTTTTGTTAACACGTTTCATTTATAGTTTCGACGACATTAATTTCCTATATATCAAGATGTTTCCCTCACTCTGATAACATCTGCAACTGCTGAGTTTCTCTCGTTCCTCAATCTGGAGCACAGCGGAGCACGGAAGAACCGAGCGCTGTACTCTGGGAAAAAAAAGACAGCAACCCATTTGGGGGCCCACAATTAGGTGACAGACGTGTATATTCGACATTCGGCTAGAGAAGACTTTTAGACTGTACGAGTGTCGGATTTTCTAAATACACATTACTGATTCCAACAGTACCTCAATCTATTATCAATTTTATTATCTTCCTGATTTTTTCCAACCCGCAATCACGAAAATATTCATTAAAGAGTAGAGCTACGAACAATCCAAATAATTCGATTAGTAATTGTGGGCACCAAAATGAGTTGCTGTCTTTGTTTTCCCAGAGTACGCATCTCGAAAGTAAAGTGGAATTATCTATTCGATCATCTCGCAGCAGCCACGATTACGGTCGCTCGATGTACGAATACGATTTCCCGTCGCGAAAGACGATGAAGAATATGTCCGTCGCCGATCGACCGCAGCGAGAAGGAATTGGTGGGACCGTCTCGGAAGATCCCCGCGCGATTTCCCGTTGTCGAAGCCTCGCGCTCGCGCCGGTCCTAAGTGGGACACTTGGCGAGGCGCACTTGATAGCAGTTCTGAATAAATAATGTAAACTCGAGTGTCGGAACGTTGGAGTGTTGTCTCGCACAATAGCGTGTCCCCTCCGAGGACGCCGGGACGCGACGTTCTCGCGATCGCCTCGCCGACGGTCTCGCGCTCGATGAATTTCCTCATCGTTTCCCCTGCCGTCTCTTCGAAAAAAATACCTGCGCTTCTAACCCGCTCCCATCCGTCAGATTACGATCAGATACGCGAGGCAGCCACGGCGGTACGACGCTCGATCACTCCGCGCGCGATCAGCGCGAGGAGATCCCTCCGAGGAGCCGGGACGCTCGCCTCGCGGCGGAGAACGATCTTTCTCCGAGAAACTGCCTCCGACCGTCGCGAGAACAATCAGACGTACTTGGCGCTCAACAGGTGTCATACGCAAGACAATTCGCGCGGTAAGTAACGCGCCGAGGACCACGGCGGCTCGATGAACCGCGGACCCTCGTCGTTTCCGCTCGCGTGTGACGGGTGACGTCGCCCGCGCGCGATCGCCGATCGTCGGATCGCCGGGAGATGATGGTCTCCGGGAGCGCGGCTGTTGCCCGCGGGAGATACGACTGTCGCGCGACAATCGCGAATCCCCCGATTTCTTTCCCTTACGGAAAGAATAATAAAGTTTTGAGTGTTAACACTCGATTGTCCGAATTTACTCTCAAATTTGGGTGTAGATATTGAAATCTGGGTGTTTATTAGCTCTTGTGGTGTTACCTCTGGGTGGTGCCAAGAATGAGTAAGTTCTAGGAAAAGATCAAATTTAAATTTTGCACCCGCCATTTCGCGCGCGCTATTTTTTATATTCTATATAAGAATTTTCAACTGGAATTTAGATTCCATGGGTCCTAATAATTTGGGTGTAAATATTTAAATCTGGGTGCTTACGCCCAAGTTTGCGAGTAAATTCGGACAGTCGAGTGTTAACACTCAAAACTTGAGTGGTTTTTCCACAAGGGTCGTCTATCACGCGGGGCGAGAACCGGTCTCGATGGGATACTCACACGTGGCGCCGAGCAGCTGCGGCAGATACTTCTTCCAGAAGGTGCACTGCCTCACCCTGGGACCGTTGCCGATCTCCGTACTGTTGACGTCCAGGGTCAGGTACTCTTTATTGACAGCGGTGTGCGACGGCCAGTAAGCCAGCGTCAGCTCGCCGCTCTCGTCGATGTTCGGATCCCTGTCCGATCATACAAATTGCACGTCTAAATATATCGCCGTCCCGACGCGGCACCGAAATATCTTTGAGTAACAAGATTTCGTGGTATTTTTAGAGTAATTTAAACGGACTGACACGACGGCGGATCAATTCGAGCCGCTGACAACGGCTGGAATTGGTATTAACCGTTTGAAGCATGGTGGTAGCCCACGTTACCACCTCAATTTCTTTACTTTTTGACCATTCAATTTCTAGTCAACGCATTTAGGTCGGCTGTTTGTTGGGGATCTCTGCTTTTAAGTTGGAGTACGAGTAATCCTTGAGAAAGAGCGAAAAGACTAGATTGATCTTGATCGGACGGAAGGTACTTGTATTTTCTACGATTTCGGCACTAATCAGAAAAGCGAACGTCCCTCTTTTTTTTGCCAATTTAATACACGTATTTTATGTCGGACATTCAAATAAATGCGACTGTAATTTGTCAGATTTTAATTAATTATCTCTCAAGTTAAAATATAATTTCTTTAAATAATTTATGTCATCCCGAATTGTATGGTACAACCGCAATTGTCGTATTTCGAAAATTGGGAGTGAAAATCGCAATAGGATTAAATTAATCGGCTTACCCCGTTTTCGCAAAGTTCGCCCAATATCTCATCATCCTCTTCGAGAGCTGCACCTCTTCGTGCGTGTAGCCCTTGGATGGATCCAGCGGTTCCCCGAAGACGTAGCTTATCTCGTCGGCGTGCATGACTCCGGTCCACCGTGGCCACGGATTGTTCTTGGATCTGGTACAAATCGTATTTTCTTAAATCGTACGCGATTCGGTAGACATAAACGTATTCACCGGGGTTTGAATTTCTTTTTGACGTTTCGAAAAACTCTACTCGTCTCTTTGAGGAAGAGCCAGAGAGCCGAGTTAATCGAGACTTGGAAAATCGATCCTCTCTCGTATATACCTATATCTTGATCTACCTATGCTTGTAGTAGTACATGTAGACAGTGTGGCCGGTGTCGGCGTAACGGCCGGCGAATTCGTTGACGTTGCAGGTGAACTGGTAGTCGCCGACCATCTTGTCGAGGGCGTTGCGATTCGCGTGCGGATCGTCCGGGTGCAGCCAGTCGCTGTACTCGTAGATGATCGCGTGACGGCCAATTTGATTGACGTAGGGATTCAGCTCGGAGACGGCGCTGATGAACTGGTCGCGCGTCACCTTCACGTCCTCGGCGCCGTCGATGCGGAACAGCTCCGTCAGGTAGTAGATGATGAAGTAGAAGCCCTCCTCGGTGTTGGAGCCCATTAGGATGTTGGTCTTCTTGAAGGACGTCGTGGCGAGCGAGCGCTGGGGCGTCTCGTCGAGGAACGCGCCGTCGATCACCGGCACGAACGGGAACTCGCAGATCCCGAGGGTGCCCCACTCGTTCTTCACCAGCTCCTCCGCGTCCTTCGTCAACAGGCAGTCGATCACCTCGCGAAGATTGTGGCGATCGTGCGGGCAGCCGACCGCCTCGGCCAGCCGGATGCCGCGCACGATCGATTCTTCGCGCGAGATTATCGCCCACGGCGCGGTCGGCGAGCCCGACTGCATGATGGCTTGGTTGAACAGGTGCCTGGAATCGCAGGTTCCTTTCTTTAATCAAGGAAAGACCCCGCTTTTTCATCCATTAACGCATACGTCGCGCGCGCGAACTAAGCCGTATTCAAATGTGTTATTAGGTGCAACTTTCTTTTTGTATGCACGTGCATCTTGAATAGATACAAATATCAGTGCAGTGTTACATACATAAATAAAAAATGTATACAGATGAAAATATCGTTTGAACGATCCTATCCGATTTTCCCCGTACCGGTAGATACATACGTCTACCCGTTGAAACTGACCTGGACAGCGGAGACAGGAGGTGCATGGAGACGGAGACGGCGCCCGCGCTCTCGCCGAAGAGCGTCACGTTGTCGGGATTGCCGCCGAACGCGGCGATGTTGTCGCGCACCCACTGCAGGGCCATCATCTGGTCGAAGAGACCGGCGTTACCGGGCACGTCGGACGTGCCGAAGTACAGGAAGCCGAGGCTGGCCACGCGGTACTGCATCGACACCAGGATCACGTTCTCCTCCGACACCAGGGTCTTATGGTCGTACACGTCGAGGGTGGCCGAGCCGGAGTAGAAACCGCCTGGAAGGAGGGACACAGAGATCCTTGGATCTCGCACGGCACGTATGCACGATTGTTTTTTTTGCAAATCGTCTTCCTCGCGTGATTCAAAACTCTCGAGTACCGAAAAGTCAACAGCGAAACTTTATCGACCTCCCCCCCCCCCGTTTCGTTTTATTTTATATTAATCGCCCGATGTACGCTGCGTCGGCAGTTCCAGAAAGAGTCCCCGAAATCGCCCGAAATGATTTACAGGAATTCTCTCACGTGCCGGGACATCGTCACGCAAGTAATTTCGCCACTTCATACTCCCTGATAGCGTAACGGCAGTTATTGTTTCTTCTAGTGTGTGTGAGGTCGCGCGTCACGGCTAAAAATATCTCTAATTGGACAACGTTCGAACGTTAAATTTTATTTTGCGGCATAAGCCGCCGGCAGACGTATCAATCATCGCCGCAACAAGCCGCGTGGTGACGGGGCGGTAAAAGAATCTCAGGTTTATAACTGACATAAACGACGGCATAATGCACGCTCTGACACCATTCGGAGCGCGACGAGAATCGGAGATGAAAAGCCCCCCCCCCTGGCGAAATGGCTTTCGGGAATGCTTCCGCCTTCGCAGTTGCCGAAAGGAATCGCGTAATCGCTCGCCTGGGAACCGAGGACAACGTAGCGGTCGCGATCGCCTCGTGTTCCTCGCGAAACTAGGCGATCTCGGTAACTCTCCCTCTAGGGAAAAAAGACAGTTAGCGACCCATTTTGGGGCCCACAATTAGTAACCGAATTATTTGGATTGTTCGTACTCTAATCCTTTACGAATTTTACCCCGCGTAGATAAAAATCGCAATTAGCTAGTCTATCTACATCCAATTTTTAAGTAATACTAATCGATTCTCTCTCATTAGTTCTGTCGATATTCAGTAACGCAAAGATAATTTTCACCGAGGGGAAAACCGCTGACCAAAACCTTGTACACCAACGCCCACTAATGCCTAGTGGGCATTACTTTATCTTATTATTTTATTTTATCTTATTTATCTTGTTTTATCTTATTTTATCTTTATAATACCCCAGCAAGGCCTAATGCTCAAACTAATGCCCAAAAAATGCCTATAGTAATGCCTAGTAATGCCCAGTAATGCCGCAAATCTGTACACCACAATGCCTTGAGCGGTTTCCCGCTCGATTTTCACTTAAGAGGCAGTACTCGAAATGTTAAGTTGCTTAACTACAAAAAAATGGCCAAAATTTTTGCCAGAGTAGAGTTAGGAACAATCCAAATAATTCGATTACTAATTGTGGGCTCCAAAATGGGTTGCTGTCTTCTTTTCCCAGAGCCGGAGGTATTTTCGCGCGAGAAAAGGGCGGAGACTTCGTCGAGGCGAGATCGCGCTCGGCGAGCGGGAGAATCGAGACGATGGATTCTCATCACTGGGAACTCACCACCGAATATCCATACCATGACAGCGGCGTTCCTAGGCCTGGGCCGCGGCACCACCACGTTCACGTACAGGCAGTCCTCGTTCAGCGGTGTGTTCGGGTTCCACATGGTGGCGCCGGGGAAGTCGCCGAACACCGTGTCCAAGATCTGCACGCAGCTGTTCGGCAGGGTGGTCGCGTTCAGCACGCCCGACCACTTTTCTACCGGCCGCGGGTGGCGAAACCTCAGCGGGCCTGTAACGTCAACGATCCGCGAGTGAAATCTCGCTCTCCAAGTGAATCCCGGGGAACGCGGCACTAGGATCTACACCTAATTCGCGAGAAAAAGCCCTTCTCTCCTCGAACTATTGCAACTCGGGAAAGGATCACTCTCGTCGATCAGGAAGTGTCGATTCTAAGCGAATCAACCTCTTGTTTTTACCCCGTTTTATCGCCCTCTCGATTTTTTATAATTATGAGCACAGTTCCTGGTCCGAGAAACCGTTTTCCTCCTGGCGAGACTCACCGATGGGTTTCTGGGCGTAGGGTATGCCGAACCAGGCGTCGACGCTCTTGCCGGTTGTCGCGACCAGGGTCTTGCCGCGGACCATGCCCTTTCTGGTGCGCACCACCAGCGGGTCGTCCGGGTGGCCGACGAGGGCGGCCGGTCGCGGGAGCTCCTCGCTCGACCTGGAACTCCTGGCGTCCTCGTGCGACGACGGCTCCTGCGCGGCGTGCAGCTCGTGCTCGTGATGCCTGCTCCGGTGGGACGGCGAGCCGCGGCAGGGATCCGGCTGCAGGACGAGAAGCAGGAACAGGCTCAGCACCAACAGGGCCTCCAGTCTGCCGGGGCCGGTCCGCCAGGAACTTGGATTTTTCGACATCGTGCCTGCTCGGCTACAATAAAAAAAATATATGTGTGCCAAAAATATATGTGTTAAGCTTAAAAAAAAATTAAGTGTACCATCATTTGCGTTTGCAAACGCAAATATTAATATTTTAAGACATAATATGTGTGTAAATAATATTTCACGTGTAATAATATTACAACGAATTATATTGCTACGTGTAATAATATTTTTAACGTGTTTTACACGTAATATTTCGTGTAACGTAGCAAACTTTAACTTTTTTTTTAGAACTTTGACGGTCAATTTTAATTGAATTAGTCTTATTTTGCGCGTATTAATGTAAAGAATAAACTGTAAAAGTTTCGAACAATCCTCGCATAAATGATTTTACGAAATAACTACCTTAAGCAGTTTCGCGAAATCGTTGTAATGAATTTTCCCATGTAAAACAAAGTCGGATTCCCATTCTCTATTGTGCCCACTTTTAGACGATTCACAACCGCCGGGATTTAAAATAGAAATCTCTCTATTTATAATTTTGTGTGCTATATAAAATGAAATACATTTCAAGAGAATCAGAGAATAAAGCGCGCGCGAATAAAATATATATATAAAAATGCACGGCGTATAAAATTATAAATAGAATTCTATCTTGAAATCCGACGTGAATTATAGATCGCCCGAAATGGACTTTGCGTATACACGGCGTGAATGAGAATGGACAAATTATTTCATATGTAATATTAAAAAGCGATTATTTGGGAAAACCGTTCCACGTGTAACCTTCGGTTCGCCGCCGCCGCCGCCGCCGCGCTGCCCGTGTACGTACAACACGTCGAAAATGTTGCGACGGAGAATGGTAAAGGGTTAATCCCCACCGGAAACTGCTCGTTCCTTATCTATCGAATGACAAATTCGGCTCCTAAGCGCGGGGACATTTTGTCCCCCTCCCCCCCCCCCCCCCCCCTCCGGTTACCGTCGTACAATTTATTATACAACAATTGTAAAACGATGCTGCACGGGGGGAGGGGAGGGCGCGTACGCGAAAGTAACAAATGGCAGTTTCGGGCGTGTATTCGTAAGTGCATTAGCATAACGCGAACCGCTGATACGCCCTGCCGCGAGAATAAATCTAGGCGAAGCGCGCCGCGGCGGGAGAAACGGCCTCGCCGCAAATATCAAATATGAACGCCTGTTATAAAAACGTAACGATCGCAGGTAGGACTTATTTTCGACTCCGCGCTGTGCCTCCGCGCGGACTGACGTGAGCGCCGCGCTTCGTGTGAAAAATGCAGGCGCAAGAAAAATGCTCAGGCGGTGGTGCATAACGTATGTCGCGAACGCATTAATTTCGAAGGGGATCCGCGCGGAGGAAAATAAACTCTCCGCCCGAGACCTCCGCCGTGCGGTTCGTGAGAAACGCCCAGAGACGCGATTTCCGAAAGATTTCCCGTCGAGCTTCTTTCTCTCCTGAATATCCGCCCGTCCTAGAAACCCGCCCTTTACCGCGTGTGGCGCAAAATTACCCCCGCAGGGACAAAGTAACCCTATCTGACCGTAATTCAAGCCGCGGTCTCCAGCGCATCCGAGAGAGAAACCGCGCTGGTAATTGAGATTATCCGAGTTAACTAAGCTAATTTAATTAATCGTACGTTATTTACGTCGAATTTATTAGCCATTAATTAGATCGGCGCTTCATTATTTAAATTGATCAAGTCTGTTTGGATTAATTTCGCCGGAGGGAGGAAATGGAAGCGTAATTTTTCGAAATCACAGGATATCTCGGATAATGTTTCGCCAAAGATATTTAAATAACGAGGACCCCATCGTTTTTCTCGCGTGGAAAAAAGCGCGCCGATGACTTTGTTTCCCCGAAGAAACAAAACTTTGCCGAGAGAACAATAATCGGGTTAACCCTTTGAAGCATACATTTTTCTATTGAACTGTTTTTTTGTGGAACTTTGTATGGAAGGGTATACAAGGGTTTTGGGGTCGCTGATTACGAATCCGTTATCAGATTTTCATAATTCAAAGTGGCGGAATTCAAAACTTAAAAGAATAACATAATTCAACTGTAAATCAACTATGCTAAGAAACATTATTTAGATATTGTTAGGACCCATGAAATCCAGTTGAAAGTTCTTCTGGAATATAAAAAATATCGCGCGCGAAATGGCGGTTGCAAAATTGAAATTTGATAATTTCCTAGAATTTACTCATTCTTGGCACTATCCAGAGCTAACGACGCGAACGTGACGAGTCCCTAAATACCGTAACCGAACGAAAATGTTGAAAAACTTGAAAACTTAAAAAATTCACGCACTTTGCATCCGCCATTTTGAATTTGGAAAATCTGACATCAGATTCGTAACGAGCGACCCCGAAAACCCTTTTGTACGAAGTTTTCAAGAAATCATCTTAAAAAACTTGGTCAATAATGAATTTTTTCGAAAAAAAAACTGCTTTTTTTTTATATTCGTTTATTTTTAAAACTTTAACAATGAATATTAAAGACTACTCAACTTTTTTTATGTTTTTTTGTTGCTAAGACACCAAAAAAATGCAAAAAACCCGACCTGAATGCGTTAACTAGAAATTAAATGGCCAAAAAGTAAAGTAGTTGAAGTGGTAACGTGGGTTACCACTATGCTTCAAAGGGTTAATTATTATACAACGCTGGATTTGTCGTCGGATAGGGCGACTGTGATTATGATGAACGATTTGTCTCGATTAAATGATATTTGCGTTTCGCGCATGTTTGTCCTCTCTTTCTCTCAATCCCTCCCCCGGTCCCCGCGCTCCTTCCGCTCGGCATTCATTGATACCGTCGTGATAAGGCCGTTACGTAACGGACAGACGGATGACAAGTGTCCTCGCTCGCCGTTTAAATCTTTCCGCGCAATTTTGCAAATTGGAAGAACGTCGGATTTCTGCCACTTTTATCCGCGCTCGCACGCGTTTCCGAATTCATTCGCTTGAAAACTCGTTACTCGCAATGTCGGATTTGTCACTCGAGGATGTGGACGCGACGACGAAGATATTCTCCCACGGCCGACAATTCTGCGCCGTCCAGCCTTCAGGAACTGAACGTTATAATCCCGCGCGTATACAGTACGTGTGAACGAGACTTCTGAAAACTTTACGCGCGATACTCTCGATAATACCGAGGCACAGCGATGGACAGAATCATAGACTTTTATATACTACTAGACTGCTACCTTCGGACTGAAAAGTGAGGCAAGACTTCCGCCGTGTCTTGTTAGGTAAATAAAGTAATATGCGTGCATCCGTGTACCACTGACTACTTTATTTACCAAACAAGACTTAGCGGAAGTCTTGCCTCATTTTTCAGTTCGAAGGTGGCAATCTAGTGGTATATTATAGAAGTGTGTGATTCCGTCCATTCGCTGTACCCATAGACATAGTAAATATAGACTGAGCGTCCCATTGAATAAGCTGAAACTTGTGAAGACAGATAGAGAGAGAGAGAGAGAGAGAGAGAGAGAGAGAAGATTTAAGACTTCCTTTCTCCGTCTTACACCATCGTAAAGAAAAGAATCGTGCCTGCGCAGTACTACACAGGCGTGATTCTTTCTTCTCAAGATGGTGAGACAGAGGAAGAAAGTCTTAAATCTTCTCTCTCTCTCTCTCTCTCTTTCTCTTTTCACAAGCTTGAGCCTATTCAATGGGACGCTCGGTCTATATTTACTATGCCTATGGGTACAGCGATGGACAGAATCATAGACTTCTATATACCACTAGACTGCTACCTTCGAGCTGAAAAGTGAGGCAAGAGTTCCGCCGTGTCTTGTTAGGTAAATAAAGTAGTATGTGTGCATCGGTCTGTCACTGACTACTTTATTCACCTAACAAGACACAGCGGAAGTTTTGCCTCACTTTTCAGCTCGAAGGTAGCAGTCTAGTAATAGAGGAAAGTACCCTATTATGAGATAGGATCCTAGTATGAGACAGCGGAGTTTCTGCGAAATTGACAGACATTATCTGTAGGTTCCACCGTGAATTTAATGCCCTTGTAGTGAAATTGTTTAGTGGAAAATTGATTGTTAGATCGTGTGATTGCTGCAAAAAAATGATGTGATTGAATTTGGACGTTGAAAACCTACTATCGCATAATAGAGGACTTTCCTCTATATAGAAGTCTGCGGACAGCAATGGTTGCGACCGAGGGGTAAATCGCTGACAAAAATCATGCACATCAATGCCTACTAATGCCCAGTGGCCATTACCTTATCTTATTTTATCTTTGTAATGTTCCAGCAAGATCCAATGCCCAAACTAATGCCCAAGAAACGCCCAGTAATGCCGCAAATCTGTACACCACATCCTCAGCGGTTTGCCCCTCGGTTGCGACATGTTTTTTTATAAAGTTCAGAAACGCGCATTTAGATTCAGGTTTGCGTTCCAAAACGTTTTCTCCGAGGGAAATTTTGCTTGGAAAATAGATTGGAAGCGCTCAAAATGGTTTCGGAACGGCCGTCGAGTAAAATATTCCTCGGAGAAGAAGGAACGTAAGCTGAAAAAAGTGTCGCAACCATTCTGTCCATCACTGTACACGGAGGGGCACCCCGGGAGAATATAGGGCGTCTCGAGATCGCAAATGAAAGTGGGTTTTGTTTGAACGTTAGGGGTCTACAACCATGTTCATCGAACGCGCGACTCACGGCGGATGGCTCGAAGTTATCCGTACAGAAATGTACAGGGTTGGAAAGTGACTCGTTGCTTGTAACGAAGTTGCAGTTACAGTTATTATTATTTTTTTTATGGAACTCTAGCTTAATTTCGTTATCTTCTCTTCATCTGTAACTGTAACCTAACTCGGTTATATTTTTTCGATAACCAGTAACCATTTGAAAACTATAATTTACATATATTTTAAACCTCCACAGAACGCATTAGGCCTCGCATCTGCGCACAAACGCCTTCATCGACGCTCCACAACTCAAATGCAGACGCGATACTTTTATTTTCACTGTAAGAAAGTAACCGCAAAGTAACGATTCGTCACTTTTCGAGTAACTGTCATTGTAACGCGTTACTTTTCAGAATTGACAACTCGTAACTGCAACCAGATACTTTTATAAAGTAACATTCCCCAACCCTGGAAACATATATCCTTTTTTGTAGCCTGTGGGTAGCACGTTGCAGCGACGGTCGCAATCCTGCAAATTGCAGGGACATTACAGAAGCATGCAGATGAAAAATTCTGACAAGGTTACGGCAATATTGGAAGCTTGCGGGATATTAAAAATAGAAGCAAAGCTCCATAATACCGCCTTCTCCCCAGCATATTGAATCTGATCCCCCGGATTTGTGGGAGGACGGCGGGGAGCCGCGTAAAAATTACACGAGACCGCAAAAGACCCCGATTAGTCGCCGACTTCAATGCCGGCGAGTGACGTATCTGGAGAACGACGAGGGAAGATTACGTTTGCGAGCCACGTCGGGCTAATGCAAGATATATTGCATCGCGACGTCACGTCGAGCTACGACGTCACGCTGCGAGCTCGCGATGCAGCAACGTGGCAGCATCGTTTGCGCGTATCGCGATCTCTCGCGACGAAACGTCCCTTCGATCTACTTGCCGGCGCGGCGCGTTCGCGGCTGAAAGAATGATGCGTTGCAACCTAAACGGCGCCGTGCACTCTGACAAATTTCAGGCGGGATACGAGATATCCGGGCCTCCGGCGCCGTTAATTCTTAACGGGCGGATTCTTTGACCGATTTGACGTGGGATACGAGGTATCCCGGGCTTCCACGCGCATTATTTCGTAATACCGAGTCGATTCCGCCACGGCGCGGGCGCTCATCATTTTATCACGGCTCTTCAATTTTTTAGCATTATGTACCGTCGTAACTTTATAAGCCCCGAATTAAAATTCCATCAAAGCAAACTCCGCGCCCGCGCGAGATGTAGCGTTCCTTTTTTCGTCTCCATTTAAACGAGATTTCAATTTTGCAGGGAGCTCTCTCGGTTTCGCGACGACTCGCGGGGACCGTCGATACGCCCGTCGGGGAAAAATCGACTTCGAATCGGCCGTGGAATCTGCTGTCAAAGAATAATGCGCGAGAAGTAGGATACCTTGTATACCTCGTGCGCTGTTATCGACGGGAAATACGATATCGTGGCGTCGCATAAATTTCTAAATATACTATCGCACGCTGTGAATTTACGTATATTATATGTAATACGCATACATGTGTATTATATGTCTGTACCTGAGAAGTTGGCTGTCGTAACTACAAGATTATCGATTTTCAGCTTTTTACCTCAATCGCCCTAATTATTTGTTTTACGGCGGTAAATAATCGTATCTGCACAATGGAAGTGTGAAGAAGGTATTTCCAACTTTGGAAAAATATCATAAAAAACAAACCATTTCTAGACACTTCTGTGTAAATTTGTTAAATGTCAGTTACGATAGTTGACCTCTCGGGTACAGAGATGTGTGTTTTTTTTATAGAGTGCGAGAGTATATTCCAAAATTTGCACGTATACAGGACGACCCACAATTCGCGATTCAAAGTATAGCATTTTTTTAAACAAAAAGGTTCATTTTATCTCAAAAAATAAAATGGATAAAAAATGGACGGAAATTCGAAGAAGATATTTTCAACCGAACTTTGGAAAAATATAATAAGAAACGATTTCTAGACACTTCTGTAAAAATTTGTTAAATGTCAGTTACGACAGTTGACCTCTCGGGTACAGAGATGTGTGTTTTTTTATTGCGTGCGAGAGTACATTCAAAAATTTGCACGTATATAGGACGTCCCAAAGTATAGCATTTTTTGAAACAAAAAGGTTCATTTTATCTAAAAAAAAATACTCAGATTCGCGAATGGAAATACATTGCAAAATGCATACCGGAGCGGGAAAGTCGAGAAAATGAAAAGAAACGGGACGAAAAATGGCAAGTACTCTCTTAATTAATTTCTTCGACAACTTTCTTGCTGTGATATTTTCGTACGCCCGGTATAAAAATGATATACGTAAATAATATAAATGTTACATACGCGTCTGTCTCTCTCTCTCTCTCTCTCTCTCTTTATCTCCCTTTCCTCGTCTCACACGCGTTAGGGCGCAGGAGGAGGGATTAGTAGGATGATAGTATTCTCTAGTTACCACACGAAGGTCTACGTTGATTAGCAACTTCCTTCTACGTGTTCCGTGCGCGGCCGTACGCACGCTCGGTCACACGGGAGCGGCGCGGCGCGTTCCACGGGAACGTCGTCGCACGCGGAAGTTTACGCACGAGGACGAGATTAACGTCGTCGCGAAATTAGGATTTATTGCACGGTGGCGAGAGCGGCACACGCGTGCGATACGCGAGTTTCTCTATGTCGGAATGGAGAGCGAATCAGCGGCGGAAACAAGGCCGCCAAGGTTCTCAGCGGGTCCCAAGTGCGCCGGTAATCGGCTCCAATTTAAACGCCAAGCTCGAACACAATCGAACGACATTAATTGCGATCAATCGAACGCTTAATTCAAACGGCACGACTCGCACACGCGCGTATTAAACGTTCCGGTTGATTTCGATTTCGGAAGCCGGGCGGCTCCCCCGGGGAAGGCGAGAGGCGACGAAAATTGAAATGAGAGGAGGGCGCGAGGGGAGCGGAGCGGAGCTGACAAAATCGCGGATTAGGATCTCTCTCTCTCTCTCTCTCTCTCTCTCTCTCTTTCTTCTCAGACTCACCGGGATTTTTCAACGGGGATATTCGCCGCGCGACACTCTCTCCCTCTCCCTCACCGTCGGCGTCCTCCCGTTTATCGATACTTATAATACTTATTCAATTAGAACCGCGCGCCCGCGAAGGATTCGCGAAGGGGCCTATTATCGCGGTATCGCGTCGCAATAATGACGACGTGGTCCCGACGCCGGAGACCAGACGCGCCCCGCCGAGCGAAAGCACTGACAGCGATGACGACGACGACGACGACGACGACGGGCTGCTGGGCGAGCGTTTACGGGAGTGACAGCGCGAGGCCCGACGCCGCATTAGAGCCACGAAGCGACTAGCTACTTCCCCTGGCACTGCGGCAGCGTTATACGTTATCGCGTGTACGATGTATAGGTAGGGTACGTGATCCACACAGGCCAGCCGGTTGGAAACGCGTAGATCGATCGGGCGGGGATCGGGCGCTCGTCGAGCCGAATGTGTCGGCTCTTCGCGACCCGCGCCCCGACGATAATGCAAAATTCTCTCCGCGCCCGAGAGAACAGATCTCTCTGCGGTTATCTGCCCGGTGGTTAATTACCCCATCGCCCGACAGACTCGTGCTGCTGCTGTACGTGTTTCACAGCTCGCGGCGCGCAGTCAGATTTGTTTCATCTCCTCTTCGTTCCGCGCACGTGTTACGGAACTTTTCGGAACGGATTGCGATCGGAGTCGTTTGGGTATCTACTGAATTTCTATTGTGTTTTGTAGCGGAAAACGGACACAGAATCCGCATTCCGAAAAGTTTCACAACGCGTGCCTCCGTATTCATATACGAGTTGTCTCGCGTGTTCTTTTTTTTTGCGACGAATCTTCTATCAATTTGAAATCGAGTCTTCTTCCGCGAGAGCGAGAGTGCTTCGTCGCGTATGTTTCTAGGTAAATTCTGTGAAACTTCATCCGAAATTGCCCGAAGAAAGTAGTCTTGTAACCTTGGTTGTTTATCGAAAGTTTAATTTGCGAGACCAACTTTTCTTCAATCGGTTTTAAGTTAAAAATCATTCGGCCCCTCGACGTTTCGAGAAACTCAACTGCGAACCCAAAAACCGATCGATGACAAATAATGTCCTAAAAGTGGAAAACGCAAGCAGTATATATTATATTTCAATTGCCTATCGAAGAATTATCTTTCCCCTATTATTCTCTATTATTTTCTGTGTAACAGATACACGAAGATAGAGGAGGGCTCATTTTCTCGAAATCACGACGTCTCGTCGGTATAAATCTCTGAAAATCGAATTCGCTGGCTTCCGACTTGCACCCTCCGGCCCGGCTCTCCTACGCGCTCTTCGCCACGCGGATCGCTCCCCCGCGCTTGTGCCGCCCTTATCTTTTTCCTCCCTCTCTTTTCCAATACTTACAGCGAGGAAGACGCGAGGAAGGTGCTCGACGCGGCTCGAGGCGATTAGACTTCAGACGGCGGCGATGTCCTCCTCTCCGAATCCGCGACAGGCAGATCCGCTTGCCCTCCCCCTTGTCCCGTCTACATTCTTCGTTCGTGGAGCATCGTTCGTCTCTGTAACAGCACACAGCGCGATTGATTGAACGAGGGTGTGTCGGAAATGAAGGGCGAAACGCTGACGAATGCGCTGGGGACCGCGAGCTCGTTATTTGCGGATTACTATTGAAAGAGGGACTAGGAAGGGGGAGAAAAAGGGAGAAAGGGAGAGAAAAAGGGGAGCAAAAGCGAGAAAGACTCATTCTATTGTAGCCCCCCTCCCACCCCCTCGGGAGTAACGAAGACAAATTAATGCGACGATAAAAGCAGCGACGGAAGTAAACAAATGAAATAAATAATAAAAATCGAAATCCTGTACTTTTCATCAGCGCGAGACCCGGGGTAAAACTCGAAACGCACGTAAAAATTTAAGCAGCAAGATTTCAGACGTAAGAATTTCAATCAATCGGAATTTTCAGCGCTGCTTAAGTTGCAAAATGGCTGCTTCCGTTCTCGACTGTCGCTTCCCTTAAATCTTGCTGCTTAAGTTGTTTCGCGTGTTTAGGACCTTAAGCTAGAAACACGCGAAAAAATTCAAGCAGTAAAACTCAAGACGTAAGAATCTCAACCACACGGAATTCTCGGCGTTGCTTACGTCTCAAGACGGCTAAGCAGCCATTTTCTTACGTTCTCGACTGTCATTGGTCACTTCCCTCAAGTCTACCAGCTAAGTTTCTTTCGTGTATTTGTGCCCTGAACAGCCGCAATGTCGAATAACTCGGTGACATCGGCGGGACCAATTTGGCAGCGCACTCGCGGCGCCGAGAGAGACACGCGAGAGTATCCTGCGGCGACGGTTTCGCCGCGACAGCGGAAACTTCGTCACCGCGCGCGCAACCCCTTTCTCCTCCGCGTATTAGATTTGATCCCCTCCCCACCGCCCCACTCACCCCCCCAAGCGCCGTAACGACACGCTCCATCCGTGGAGCGCGCCCCTTCATTTCGGCCCGCGGGCGATCTATGATTTCGTTATCCGCGAATTCCGCGTACGTCGCTCGGAGGGGGATGAGCGAATGCCAAAAGCGGAGCGGTATATACGCGCTTATTAGAAATTCCAGTCGTCCGTGTATATCCGCCTTCTCCCCCGACAGCGACGTGGAATTCGCATATAAACGGATAAAAGGCATCGCGGGACGCGGCGCCGGGGAGGAAGGGAGATTTCGCCCTCGCGCACCCCTCGAGAATAAGGAGAGATGCGCGATACCCGAAAGTAAATCGCGGCGCGCGGGTCCCGAGACGCCGACGGCGGTTCGGTAATTAACAGCTCGATAATTAAAGAATTCGAGCGCTCTTGAAGACTGTTCTTATCGCTTCTCCCCGCGTTTCGAAATAGCGGACCACCGTTCTATTCTCGTACAAATTACTTTCGTTCAAGTGGCTCCCTTAAATTGGACGTCTCTTTAAGGATTCCGAGAGCGACGGCTCTCGGCGACTCGACGATATCGGGCGGAACGTCTGCGAATTTTCGTTATCACACGGACACAGACGTTACACGCGCGCACGTCCGCCCGTGCGCGCGCACACGCGTACACGTGTGTACGCGAGCACAGACACACGGACGATCGTTGACCGAGAAACGAAAGGTCAGGGCGTCACTGGCTCGGCTTGGCTGGCTGCACTGCGGCCCGCTGAGTTTCGCGGCGCGGACATTTAGGAAATTACCGTGAGGGCGGGGGGTGAGAGACGGGACCGGCCGGCCGCTCGGCTCGGCTCGGCGAAATATGCATTCGGCGCAGCCCGGGCGTGCCGAAAAAAAAAGAAGGAGAAAAAAGAAAAATCGCCGGACGCGTCCTACTCGCGGCGGAAAGAGATTCCGCGCCGGCCGACACGCGGAATCGATTTTCCCCTCCTGGCGAGAGTATCGGGCGCTCTCGCGACTCTCGAGTGATCGAAAATACTACGGGGCACTTTAGGGGAAACGACGATCCCTCCTTTTGTCCCCTGCGAAGATACTTTTACTCAATATTTAATACTGTATATTATATCGCGGCGATAAATTGCCTTTATACATTTTATGCGGGAAGGCGCTACTTTTCCCGGACAAAAGCTGCATTGTCGGGAAAAGTTCCAGAGTGAAGTTCGAGGGGGGAAAGAATCGGCCAATATCCAAGCAATTTCAAATGAAACGAATCCATGGGAACTTGACGACATCTCATTCGAGTTCCCAGAATTTTAATTCGAAAATCGTCGACGCGACGATTAAAAACTGAGGGAGGGGGGGACAAGTGACGAGCCTCCTTGACATCTCGGCGGTCGAGAAGACGTCCCGCGGCTGCGGCACTTCCGGGGGAACCCCCGCGAAAATGGAGCGCGCGCACGAGCGCGGTTTTTCTCTCACCCCGCGAGGTTTTTCCATTGCCCGCGGTCGAGAACGAATCGAGAACCACCGGGCATTGTTCGCATCTTCGTTCACCCGGGTGAACGATTCGTACTCGAGGCACTCGTTCGTTCAATCCGTCCGTACGACGAGACGCGCGACGTCGCCTGAAAGACGAAAGCGTCGCCTCCTCGGGTGGGATTTTCAAAATAATTCACCGACGCGTCACACGCCGCGCGTTCGGGAAAATAATTGCCGCGAGGCTCTCCTTCTCTCTCCCGTTCTCTCCTTCTTTCTCTCTCTCTCTCTCTCTGCCTTTGACAATGAAAAACGAATTTGACGAAGAGGAGAAAAAGTATCCTCGGATATTCGGACGCATTTGGGAAAATCCGAGGGAGAAACCGCTGAGGGCATCGTGGTGTACAGATTTGCGACATTACTGGGCAGTACTAGGCATTACTAGGCATTACTAGACATTTTTGGGGCATCAGGCCTTGCTGGGGCATTATTAAGATAAAATAAGATAATAAGATAAAGTAATGCCCACTGGGCATTAGTGGGCATTGGTGTACAACATTTTGGTCAGCGGTTTCCAGGGGAAAACCGCTGAGGGCATTGTGGTGTACAGATTTGCGACATTACTGGGTATTACTAGACTTTTTTGGGCATTAGGCCTTGCTGGGGCATTATAAAAATAAAATAAGGTAATAAGATAAAGTAATGCCCACATTAGTGGGCATTGGTGTGCATATAACATTTTGGTCAGCGGTTTCCCCCTCGGGAAAATCGTAGCGGGGGAGAGGGACAGAAGCCACCACGCGGCCATTTCGATGTCCTTCCACCCTCTCCCCACGGCCCCTCCAAGATAGCGAACTGTCGAGGCGCGCGTACCGCCGCTGCGGGTCAGAAACGCGCGCCACAAGCCGCGCGAGAGGGTCAATCGGACCCGACGCCGCAGTCTCGTCCCTATGACAGGGTAAAAGCGAGCGTGTATCGCCGCGGGTATCATCGGGGGAAGGGGGGGGGGATTATGGATGGCCCGTGGACACGCTAACCCAGTGACATCTCTAGGTCAGCCCGACCGCCCGGTCGCTCGATCCGTCACCGATTCGCCGCCGCGCGGTATTTTCAGACCGGTTTGCGCCGGGGAGAGACACCGCAGCCGACCCGTCCTGGAGCAACCCCCTTTTTGAAGGCTAGAACTTGGTCCGAGTTCCAGTTCCGAGAACCGTGTAGCCAATCAACTTGCAGCTATTCCATAAAAGCGAGTTGATTGGCTACACATTTCTCGGAACTGGGACTCGGCCCACGTTCCAGCATTGCGGGCACAGGCCTCAGGTCCCGCCGACGGCGAGGACGCTCGCGACTCCGAGGGTCGTCGGCATCGCGAGCCACCTATCACTTATCAACGATCGCTTCTACGGAGGCATCGCCGCGAGTATCCGCGACGGTGGATCGTTGATAAGTGGTCAAAGAGAAAGAGAGAGAGAAAAAAAAACGATAGCACACAGAGGCGCGGCTCGGGGAACGCGCCGGAGGTCCTTTCCGCTCGATACTCGAGCGCGAAGTGACGAGCGCAGCGACGATTCCCGGACGTGCCTCTCGCGCGCGCGGCGGCGGCGGCGGCGGCGGCGGCGGCGGCAGCGGCGGCGAGTTCGAAAATCCGAAGCGGAGGTGAGGACGCAACAAGAACGAGAAATGGGGAGGGGAGAGACGAGGTGTACATCGATAATAAACGTTATCGGAGCGACAGACGACGCATTCGGCGACGGCGGCGGTGGCGGCGGCGGCGGCGGCGGCAGCGGTGGCGGCGGCAATCCTTGACCCGGTTACCCGCGTAAGCGAGCCAAATATTGACCTAATCTAGCGGCGACTCGCCGCGCGCGCCGAACGTCCGAGGTCCGTTGCGTGCTTTTTTTTTCTCTCTCGCGTACACCGGGCCACCGCTGAAACCATAGGTCGCTCCCTCCTCGTTAAGGGTCAGAGCACAAAGCAACCGTAAATAGCTTACGACAAAGACGCAAGCGTAAACGTAGATAGCGCACAAGCTTTTGGCGTAAGTGTAACGTATGTAATTGGAGGTAAGTACGATATACGCCAAAGCCTGTGCGCTAATCTACGTTTACGCTTGCGTCTTTGTAGTAAGCCATTAACATTGCTTTGCGCTCCGATTCTAATCCTCTTTTCACCCTCGCCCTTTCTCGCGAGAGAAAGAGAGAGAGAGAGAGAGCGACGAGAGTCCCGAAGAACGACGATACGCGGACCGGGCCAGCCCCGCGCGAGCCCACACGTGTCTGCGCGCGCTTATTTTATGGAAACTTGTCTCGTTTCCCCGTTTCTCACTTCGCCCGGTCTGTCACGGGGCGCGACGGGCCGTGAATAATTCTTTCACGAGATGGAGAGAACGAGACAGAGAAAGAGAGAGAGAGGGGGGGAGGGCGTGAGAGAAAGAGAGAGAGAGAGAGAGAGCGAGTAAACGGTATCGGGAGCTGGTTGATATTTGGCGGGCCGACTACGGGCAATCGGAAATTCGGCCGTTCGTGGCATGCGCGATAAAACGGCGAGACGGTACCGGAATGTACCAGACACCGAGTCCTATTTTCTCTCGCTCTCGGTCTCGTTTCGACGTTTTCAGCCCTCCCCCGCTCCCCCTCCCCCCGCGAGACTCCCGCTTTCTTTCCTCGGTCGATCTCGCGGGGCG